CATATATATTAAACAGTATATCAAAGTAAAATGTGAAATATTTTGGAATGTATTCACTTTTCAATAATTTTCACTTTCGATAATTTTACTCTGGTTTTTTAAGCAGAGTAAATATAAGAGTCGATATGTTTTGAAAGAAAACTATACGATTCTTCTTAAGAAATTGATATAGATTTGAAATGACGTTGCGTTATTGATTATTCAGCGAAATTAATGTTATCGACTAATGTTTCCTCGAAATCTTACAAATCTTGTCTAATACATCTAATGCATTTTTTTGTACAAGATGTAGAAAAAAAGATATTTAAGTTGGGCCATTAAAATGGACTATACTGTATAAGTAAACTAATTGAACAATTTCCTTATATCACAAATAACGAGAGAGGTGAATTTTTCTAAGAAAATGTAAATATTATATTCGGTGCTACACAGCAACAAACGATAATAAAACTATCGCTCATCTTTATGTTACACTCACCTACATTGTCCTTCTATCTATATGATTCTCTCTACATGAATAATTACAAGAAATTTGTGTCACTGCTGCGTAGAATATATAACAGTGAAGTAAGACATTGACGCGCTTGTTAGCTGTAATAAAAGATTCTCCTTTGTGCTATCTCGTTCCGAGTATACGACGTTGAATATATTCCACTAAAAACTGATACGTTTCTCACCGTGGCGAAACATTCCAACGATGCTGAGAACATTTTACCGATTGGCAGGTAAAACGGTTTATTGTTCCTTTGCAGCATGAATAGTATTAGCTTCTGTATGTATAGTGGTGTTATGTACCATCGAATGCTGTATCTACGAGATAATGACTCAACTAGTGATCAATAATGGAAGAGAAAATAAGATGTGCTGATAATTAATATTCATACACTTTCTCTTACACAGTGATATATAAATCGTCATTGTGATCCGTGACTTGTTGAGCGGAGTAGTTGGCTAGGAATATATACAAAAGAATGCCAATCGCATATACAAAGTGAATGGAACTTCTTATGAAATTGTATTCAAACTTTATAATCTGAAAAATCTGTGAAGCCATTGTTGTGATAGACTCCTTGGAAAAATATCATAAAATTGTTTCTTTAAAGTTAGTGAGTTGCTTTATGAAAAAAAGGAAATATATATACGAGGGTAGATCAAAAGTTTCCTGAGATAAACCAAAACATGGCATTCTAAGCACGTGTCATTGCCATGTATTAAAAGAACTATCTTTTAAACGACTACCGTCAAATGTTCAGACAGATCATCAGATAGATGGCGCATATAGTATATTCCGTGACAATTAAGCAAAGTATACAACTTTTGTTTCAACATATATAGGGTGTTTACAAAAGCCATTCAATCTTTATATAATAGATAGTACACACCATATTGAGTAAAAAACTCTTAATAAACTTAATAGTAGGTCGAGAATTCAACAATTTTTGTTGTTTAAACATTTTTGTCGGTTAGCGTCATATATATTGTACATATATAACTCTTTCAACATTACGACATGATAATCAAATATATAGAGTGAGAAAATAATCATTATCATCTTGAATATCTGCGAAATTATAAATGTAAGAAAAAAATTTATTTAATAAAAATTATACGATACAGAAACTGTTGTATTATGTAGGAGTGTATAACGCCTTTTTCTGATGAAGTAACTTTTCAAAGATTTGAAAATCGCTTTTAATTTTTTATATGTAATCATATAGTTTTTTTTAAATACAAATCGATTCCTTTATTCATTCGCGTATAAAAGTACTAGGGTGAGATAATCGAAATTAAGCGCTTTTCGAGATATTTTATAATTTTTGATAATTATTCTCATATTTTTTAATATGAAAAAATATAAAATGAGTTTGAAATGACTTGAATTATTGATTATATAACGAAATTGATGTCACTAACTTTTATCTCAAACCCGGGATAACTTTCCAAGACAACTTTTGTTTGCAACGTTTTCCCAAGTCTTCCATATTTCGAAATTTCCCTGGGACAATTAAAATGGGCCAACCTCTATATATACAAACACCCATATATTTTAGTATTGTATTGTAATTCTTATCTAAAGATTTGTCTATAAAAGTGACGAAACTCACTTTATATAGATTTAGGCTTAGACCACTGACTAATACCAGTACTAAGAGGTATAACGATCCTTCAAACTTCTTCATTATTAAGATGGAGATCCTTTAAGAATATGAGAAATTTTATATTATATTGCGCAAGTATTATGGAATATATGTTACGTAATATATACAGGGTGTCCAAAACTGTTCTCGGTTTCCATGGTGGGACACCCTATGTAAAGTATAACATAAATATTATGGAATGAGTACTGACTTCATAGCTTTGCGATGAATGTCGACGGCACAAATAATGTGCTTATAAATCATAATTACATTCTCCAGATTAATATTATGTTGTACGTTAAACTCCATCGTTTGTTCAATACGATAACTACAAGTAATTAATATTTTATGATCATTATTTCTCTCGTCCAAATTATTTACGAACTATAAATGAAGAATCCATTTTGTTCTCGAAAAAAATTTACATATCCATATAAATTCTTCCCTTTATTTTCTTACCTGGCAATTTTAAACATTCCACAGACGTATTGGAGCCATGTTAATAACGTCGATCCGGTCGCTAGTATCCCAAGTAACGATACACATATCGCTGCATTCATGTGTAAAAGAATTAAGTGAAGATACTTTCCCTGATCCACGAAGTATTCAGTCATGATAAATAGCATTTGTTCTTCAGACTCGTTTTCGAACGGAAAGATATTGAAGAAGCGCAGCCACATTGATTGAATAATTATAAAAAATACAGCGTTAAGTACTGAAAACATTAAAATAATATAATCATATTAATCGCAGTTTATTAATTCTGCAGAAGATATATTTTTAAAAGTTCCAGATTTATTTAATCTATTTGATCTTATGTGTGATAAAATTTAACGAATATAATTTATTACGTGTAAGTGTGGTTGTAAGACGTTTTGCATTGATCCCATAATTTTGTATGATAGCGATCTCATTCTCGTCTTTTAGTTCATTACAGATTTGCTGAAATTGCTCCAACAGGTGTTTCACCTGTTGACGGTATGAACCTGTATCATTTCTTGTTATAATATACGGAGGGTGTTGTAATGTGTAAAAATTTACTCAATTTGGATGTTATTAATGATGAATACAGTTTACTCTTAACTCACACTGTGATTGTTAATCAGGAATGAATTGTATATAATTGTACAGGCGAAAAAGGCTAATGCGGAGGAGAAAACTGTGATGACAAAATCAGATGTGCATTCCATAGTCAGAAACGTCGTTAACTGTCAGGGATAAATTCATAGACAAATGCATTAAAGGGACAAATAACTTCGTACAGACAGCAAACTATAAGTCTAGAATAGCTAGTTGCACTTTTATGTATGATGTCGCACAACGAGAAGCTCATTATTTATAATATTTTAATAAAAAAATTTTATTTTTAATAAAAATCTTTAATTAAATGAAGTTATACTTGTTAATTGACTTATATTACGACGTAATATATATTTATTTTTGTAACATATATAACTCGTGTTCGTAAATATTTCGGATTTCCCAACGTTAACGAAATGTTTCGACCATTTAGATTGCCCTTTACCCTCAATCTTGATATGCTGATAAATGTAATGTTTAATGAACTATAGTTTAGTTTGGTAGCTAATTATAGTTTAGTTTGTAACTGATGAACGATTTATAAAATTCATAATAATGTAACGTACAGGCATATCACATCATGCGCTTCTGAACACAATGCTACATCACGTAAATTACATGGAGAAATGTAACTCCCTTACAAGCGAGAATGTGTAGAGTAACACATTATACACATAATATAACATTAAAAATACTCACTATACCTGAAATACGGTGAAGCTCATCAAAATGCAGAGGGACATGATTGCATGGAATTGAGTAAATTTCGATCGGTTATAGGGCCATAGACCGATCAAGAGTAGAAGAATCCGGCTGACATTGAAACTCTCATGCAGATTGAAAGAGATCATCTCTCCGTGAGCACTTGGTTGCTTTTGACCGGAAATGACGATAAAGTTTCGTTCATTTTTTTCCCCAGCCAGTGGATAAGATATACCATCATATTTTCTTTCCCTAGTTTAATGTAAATTGTGTAAATTCGTGAAAATGTAAACAAAATTATGCCAAATGCTACCGTGAGATAAGGACATTCGTGGGTTAAAATTTTTTATCGGGCAATAGATAATGATTAAGTATTCGACGAGACGACTATAGAAAAAATCGAAAGATGTTTATTTCCCATAGTGTAACATTCATCGGGTGAAATTTCCCCCAAAGAATTTTGCGCAGGCGCTGTTGCTCTGTCATTGCACCACATGCTTCAGTCCACTGCGTGCTTTCGTAAGCTATACATGTCTCAAGTTGAACGGAAGAATCGATCAGTTCGTTGGTATTGTGTTACTGTATCAGCAAAGAAATTGTCTCTGGTAATGTACGATAGATTGTAACCGAAAGTGAAATATTGGCAATATTTCAATTATTTGGCCAGTGCTTAATCATTGATTAGGCATTGCAGGAATTAATTACTGTAATTATAAAATATTATTTGCAACAAAATTATATTGATACAAACGCGATAAGACATACTAATATTAGATCATTTTGATTAAATAATAAAAAGAACTGCCTCTTTATTTTTTTTTTAATCTCATAATAAGTGCCTCCGTGGTTTCGATCCTATAACAGTCATTTTCATCATCCTTTTCCTTCCGAAGTTGGCATTATTTTAATTCAAGGATCGAATAGGAATTTCTGATATCAATGTGTTCTAGCGATATCTTGGAAAATTATGTTTATAATGTATTTTTATATCTTTTGAAAAAACATTTTAATGACATAATGTTTGCAAATATTGGAAATAAAGGACGAGCGAGTTCACAATATATTCTAACAATATATGAAAAACGATATACGATATACAATAAATATTGTGGAGTCACTAATTTCAGTATTAATCATTACCACTAGTACTAAATTNCGAAGCTAAATTAATCTGAAGTACTAGTTACTCTGTAATTGAAGTGTTCAAAATTATTAGTCACTGGAGATTAATAAAAATACTGCATAATAGTAATTTATTAGAAGGAAAAGTGACATTACTGCCCTTATAGGCATTACAGACCTCTTAATATTTTCGCTATTAGATGATGAATTTAGCGATTACTTATGGAATTATTTGTTTAGTAGTCTTCTTTTACGCTGCAGCATTAATATGTTAATGCGCAATAGCTGGCATTTCTTATAACGCATTTTTACTTTCAAGCATAGTTATTGTATAAAATGTAAATGGCAGGCCATAATATTTCTTTCCTCTCTACTAATCAACTAGTAATATTTTTCTGTAAGAGTATACAATTACTGCAGACTTAAACATTGAAATACTTGTGGTCACTATAAGCTCTATAATTGAATCACTAAAAATTATTTACAGTAGTACTTTTAATATTCAGAAAATCAATAATTAATCACTAACTTAGTAGTATTAAGTTTAGGGGTCGTGATGCTATAATTCTCATCGACTAGCAAATCCATGCCCGATCATTTCTGGGTGGAATACATGACAGTAAAATAAGATATAGACATGCTGATTAGCTATAAGAAAAAAAAAATTTTTTTCTAATTACATACGCAAAAAACACCGTATGAATATGCGTATCTTCGCATAGTAAGTCTCCTACCGAAGCGAAATTTTCGAAAGATCCTATCATTACTCCACCGACGTTGAGATTAAATGCTTTGCTGCCTCTTTGCAAGAGAAATAATATCATTCTCTGCACGTGTAAAGGTGCTAAGTACCAACGGATGTTGTACCTGCGAAATAACGAGAAATTAATATGAGAAGTCAACATTCGGTACATCACCAGCACATCTTATTACCATTTACAAATTCGCATTTCGATAATGACAAAGAGATGAGCAAATAATGTTGTACTGTACAATTTGTCAACTTTATCGAACTTTTATTTCGTTATTAGTACACACGGTGATCAACAGTGTACAATAATAATAATTGTAAGCAGTATATGAAATAGCCTCTTACGCAGTTACGAATACGTCCTTATTATGATCCATGATCTCTTGTGAGATATAGCTGGCTAAGAAAATGTATAAGAAAATAACACATATGTAAATGAGGTGAAGTAGGAGTTCTTCTATGTTACCACCGAATGACACAATCTGAAAAATCTGAGACAGTATCATATATATACTTGATATATAATACTTATAATTGGAAACATATAGTCACACATTTTATAATGATGAATTATATTATGTATAAAAATATTAGAACTTAACCATATTAAAAGGCAGAGATTTAGTTTAAAAAACGGGACAATGAACAAGTTACTTGCGAATAATATTTGTTCTTCTCTCAAAATTTTATACATAGTAATTGTATCAAGTTTTAGGAGGAGAATAAATATTATTTGCAAGTAGCTTTTTCATTGTCCCGTTTTTTAAGCTAAAAAAAATTCCTTAATGTCATTAAGTTCTGATATTTTTAAATAGTGCGATATAAATTCGAATTATTATTTTCATGTAAAATGGAATTTTGTTTATATGCACGTTTTGTAAGACTAAAAAGACTCACCAGAAATAAATTAAGACTCAAAGAGATAACAGAGGACACTACTAAAAACATGAATAATCTCTCAAAACTGGATACTATAAGTACGGAGAATCTTCAAAAAAACGGAAGAAGAAAATGTTACTACCCGCATTTTGTCACACTATCGAATAAATACTAACTTCATAGCTTTTCGATGAATGTCTACGGCGTAAATTATTTTTTTATGCATCTTCATATTGTTCTTCGGACCGATTTTCTGTGAAATGTCACCTAATAATAGTTGCTCTATGCGATAACTGTAAATAATTTCATTTGTTGCAATTACGTAGATTTATTTTAAATTTGACCAAGATGACGATCAATTGCAATTTGCTATATTTTATTTAAAATTGTTACATTTGAATTTTTATTTTTATGGTGATTTTTCTTTTTTCATTACCTGGCGATTCTGAACATTCCACAGGCGTGTTTGAAATAAGTTATGAATATCGTTCCCGTTGCGATTACAACAATAATTCCTACGAAATAAGATACATCCACATGCAATAAGATTAAATAGAAATATCTTTCCGGATCGACAAAATATTCTGTTATGATTTGCGTCGTACGATGCGCCCTCGATTCATTCGTAGATAGAACGATGTCAAGTATACGTGGCCAAATTGGCAAGGAAAAAAGAGTACCTATGCCACTAGCGCCGGCCCCTTTAAAATTGTTTAAAAGAAGTTGAAAAAAAAGTTATATAGATCGTTATTTTTTTGTTCTCATAAAATATCAAATGCTTGTTTTGTTTTAAATTTAACTATCATTCATTCATTTTAAGTAATAAATTTCGGATACAAATAAGTACTTTGCTACGGACAATATCGTTTTATTTCATGTTCTCTTACACGTAAGTGTAGCCGTATAAAGTTTCGCATTGTTTCCGTACTTTTTTATGATGGCGATTTCATTTTTGTCTTTTAGCTCGTTACATATCCGTTGAAGTTCTTCCATTAGATATTTTACCTGTTTTGTCAACGTATAGCGTTTTGCGCCATAAAATTCGAAAAAGTATGGTCGAATGTAGGAAATTATTTATTGGAAATATGTTTATTGTATCAAGTACTTCATCAATTCTATAATAGATGGCTCCTTAGATTATAATCACATACGATACAAAAGACATTAGAAGCAAATTTATAGGCGAAGGTCGTTTAAATTCAATGAATTTTAATATAAAATTACAAAATGTTTTAACTTTATTTTAGATCCCCTTCAGTCGTAATAAAAAAAAATCATTATAAGTTATATTATGAATTTGAATAGTACCTAGACGCATATTTGCTGTCTTTCGTATTATGTATGAATATTTATTCCTTGCTCGACTTACAATTTGTTCGTTTGCCCAGAAACAAATGTACTCAACTACGTACATAAAAAAAAATATCGTGGAGGATAGAATTTTAATGATAAAGTTGGGAGTGCATTTCGTGGTCAGGAACGTTGTAAGCTGCAAACAATAAATTGGTCGAGAGATTTTCATTATAATATTAGTGATTGACAAATTTTTCAAGTGCTTCTCCACGTGCTTTAGAATATAAATTAATATATTTATAATCAAAATATATAATAATTGGTAACTATTACATATTATATTGTTAAGTATTAAAACTAACACACTCGGTGACACTCAAAAATATAATATTAAATAATCAAATTAATTCTCTCTACATAAATATGAATTAATTAAGAAAGTGTAAGTAATAGTGCAATAAATGCAATGTATTACTACAAAAAAAATTAATAATGTTTGTGTACCTGAAATGTAATGAAGCTTATTAGAATACCAGGAATCAAGATCAGCTGACATACGACAAGTTTCGATCGCTGATATGGCCATAAGCCGATGGCAAGCAAGAGAATCCGATTGATGTTGAAATTCTCATACGGATCAAAGGACTTCATCTCTTCTCTATTACCGAGGTACATTTATGAAGATGTAGGTAAGTGAAATTTCTCCCATTTCCCTTCCTCTGCTAATCGATAAGATATACTACACTATTTTATTTCTCCTGTATATCTTAGCGCAAATGGTATGATTTTGCATAATGTAAAAAGTCGCACAAATTTTCACTATCCTGAGATCGGTATAACATTTTCGTCGGGAAATAATGTAACTATAAAACGGTCAATGAGACATCTAAAGAAATTGGACAGGTGTTATTCTCATTAGATGAAACTTCCCTTAACGAATTTTGCGCATGCGCTGTCATTCTCTCGGAGTGCCGTACGCTTCAGTCCAATTTGTACCTTCGTACGATACACATGTTTGATCTATGACTGAAAAGTTAGTTGAGGTTGGTTGATCAATATTATGTGCCGATATCTCAGGAATAATACTACCTCCGGTAAAGTAACAGATTGTAACTGAAAATATTCAGCAGTTTCTTATTTTCGATCTACTCTTCCTCATTTTTCTGGATATCATGCTTGGACATTCCGACATTGGAAATTTTACTTTTTCCCGAAGTTACTTAACAGATATTACTTATCGATATTGAACAACAAAGATATCACTACGATTTCTGTTTGTGTTTTTATTTCTGGTGGAAATGCAATCATAAATTATATAAGGTGTAAGAATTTTTTTTTAAGGAAAAAATAACACGGACAATTTGACGATACTAGTAATAGTATGATCACAGATAATTATCGTTTTTTTTTTCCAATGTTGGTTTCTTGACAAGTAATATATCCTCGCACGATCATTTTTGGGTGGAATACATGATGGTGACGTAAGACATCGACGCGCTAACCAGCTGTAAAGAAACATTTTCGTTTGTGTTGCTTGTGCAAGAAACACGCTCTAAATCTGTGTATTTTTATATACGGTATATTTCCTACCGAGGCGAAATTTTCTAAGGATCCTGTGACTATTCCTCCGATATTAAGATTGAATGTCCTTTTATTCCTTTGCAAGAGAAACAGTATCATCCTCTGAGTTTGTAAAGGTGCTACGTACCATTGAATATTGTACCTGCAAAATATCAAAAAATGAGTAGGAGAAAAATCCCAAAATCGACATATCATTTTGTTTTTAAACTTTAAAGCCTTATTGAAGGTATAAAATTGAAATGTGTAAATCAGAAACACTTCTCTACCAAAATATACGATAGCCCTGTGAAAATTATTACACATGCGGGGAGAAAATCAAAATTTATATTTTGCATCCGAGTAAACGGAACTCCCAATATCAATTTCGACCATGTAAATTACTACTGAGACAACGAGTGACGCATCGAGACACACGTGAGTCACGCGAGTGCAAATCAGTCATCATTGATTCAGAACCAAATAAACAACTCCGACTTTTCTGACAGGAGAGAGACATTCGTTAGTTTTACTATCAAGATTTTTACACGAAAATATTGTAACAAAAATTACCATAAAATTTTATAATGCTGGACCATATCGGAATTATGACTGAAATTATGATGTTATAATCTTTAGGTTTGTGTGTCGTGTGTATACATTATTAAAGATTACAACACGCTTAATATTTTTAACTAACTGTAATAACTGATAATAATTATAATATAATCCAGCATCACAAACTTATGTAATAATTTTTATTACAATATTTCCTTTGTGTAGAGAGACTGAATTTAATTGGTTAAAAGAATAAGTTGGCTAATTGATTATTTCTGTTGTTTTCTAATAGATTACAGAATCAAGTAAGTAGAAATTTCACAAACATCTTTGATATGTTTGAAATATCTGCTTGCTCGATTCTATAATCTGTTAAAAAATAGCAAGAATAATCGATTAACCAACTCCTCCAATCTCTTTAGTCAACCGATCTCCCCTATATTCCACATAAGAAAGTGATCTGTCGCCATAGTATTGAGACTTTTANAAAAATAAATTAAAAAAATTAAAATTAAATTACTTTATACATTTATTTATAAATATTTTATAAATTTTTATTTTTATTTATTTACTTTATATATTTATTTAATTTATTTATTTAATTAATTTATTTTATTTTATTTATTTATTTTATTTTTTATTTAGTTTTCCTTACGTTATGTTATCTTTAATCTTGCATATGTTTTAATATTTTAAAATCTTCCGAAGTATATTGCTCTTTGAACATATGAAAAAGGATCTCCTGACTTTTTTCCGACCACCTTAAATAAACAAACAAGAAAAAGGGAAAAGGCATTCACCAATAGCTCCAACTATATAAAGTATTAAATCTGAAATCGGAAGATACGGTATGTCAGTTTACCGGTATGTCAGTTTATTATATCTACGTTAGTTTTAACGTTTTTCCTCCATAAAAATATCACGCTGCATTGCATTATTGGCGCATCTTTTGATCATTTTCATAGTAACAATTTGGTAATGAGAAGAAGACACGTCAATAATATTGCAGCGTGAGAACAATTTGCAATCATTGTCAAATTTCGCTCCCATTATTAGTCTGCATATCGATAAGTGATGTACATTAATAATAATTTCAAATGAGATATGAAAATATTTCTTACGCGGTTACGAACACGCGATCATTATGGTCAGCAATTTCTTGTCCCAAGTAGTTAGTTAAAAACATGTACAGAATAATGATAATTATGTAAACAATATGCTGGTAAAGTTCATCCATGTTGCCACCGAATGATATAATTTGTAAGACCTGAGACAACACCATTAACTCATTATGTACATGAATTTTTCATTATTTTTACATGTGCAATATTGGAACGATACATTTCTTTTCATTACAAAATTCTTGTTAATTATACTAATAATTGATATAAATAAAATAACGTCTAATTCACGTTTAGACGCATGGAAAGGTAAAATGACTTACTTGAAATAAATTAAGGCTTAAACAGGCGACACCGAACACTACTAAAAACATAAACAAACCCTCGAAGTTGGACACGAGAAATTCAGAATACCTTCGGAAGCGGAAGAAGAAAATGTTGTTATAAACGTTTTATTGTACTATCGAATAAGTACTGACTTCATAGCTTTTCGATGAATGTCCACGGCATATATTATTTCTTTACGAATCCTTATTTCGTTCTTTGGATCGATTTTCCAAGGAATGCCATTCGATAGTGCTTGTTCGATGCGATAACTGCAAACAAACAATTTCAATTACTGTAATTACTGCGTTGTCTCATTCCAAATTTATTCGTGCTGATGATGAAAATCTATTAAATCACAATTTAATATGTGTGTGCTGTATTTAAAATTACAATATTCCCCTAGCACTGTATTTTACGTTAAATTTCGTTCTTCCTTCACCTGGCGACACTAAACATTCCACAAGCATGTTTGAGGTACGCTATGAATGTTGATCCTGTCGAGATTACCACGACAGTTCCTATAAACCAGGATGCATCCATATGTAATAAGATTAAGAAAAAATATCTTTCAGGATCGACGAAATATTCAGTCATAATTTGCGTCGTACGACGCACCCTAGATTCATTGGCAGGCAAAACGACGTCGAGGATGTGTGGCAAAATTGGCAGCAAAATAAGAATACATAGAACGCTGGCACCAAGCCCTTTAAAATTATTGAAAAGAAGTACCTGCATAGAACGCTGCTTTTCTGTTCGCTTAAAATATCTAATGATTATGCTCTTACACATAAGTGCGGCCGTGAAAAATTTCGCGATGTTTCCGTACTTCTTCATGATAGCAATTTCATTCTCGTCTTTTAGCTCGTTACATATTCGTTGAAGTTCTTCCATTAGATATCTTACCTGTTATGTCATCAACATAACGGACCGTTTCCCGTTGTGAAGTTTGGAAAAAATGGAATAATGTAGAAATCTACTTATCAGGAATAAGTTTATTGTAACGGATATTATAATCGTTACTCGACTTACAGTTTGGCTGTTTGCCCAGAAACAATTATACTCGACTACGTACATAAAAAAAAATATCGCGGAACAGAGAATTTTAATGATCAATTTAGGAGTACATTCTGCTGTCAGGAATGTTGTAAGCTGTAAGTAACAGGTTGATAGACAAATTTTCCTTAACAAGCTAATAGTTAATTATTTTTCTATGCTCCATAAAGGGTACAAGTTTAAATATTTGTAATTATTATTGTGGGCTTCTGGTATAAACTATTAAAGGGTGCATTCCGATATTTACTGCTACTAAAAATCTATAATCCACATTGTAGATCCAAAGTGTGTAAAATTACACACTTTGGATTTGGACATGTATTTTGGTATGAAAGTTTTTGGTTCGCATCAAAGTTACACTTTGAACAAGGTTTAGAGACGAAAAACAAAATGGTATGTCAGTTTTGGTGCTTTTCTTCTAATAATTAGTTGCCATTATAGTGGTATTTATATATAATGGCATTATATTGCCATTAATATAATTGGAAGTAATATTATAATATATAAAAATATAGTATTAAATAATTAAGAAAACTGTGTTACCGCGACATAACTAAGTAGCTGAAAATGTAAGTGATAAACAATTTGTTAGGTGATAAAAAATAAAAGTGCTGACCTGGAATGTAACATAGCTTATTAGAATAACAGAAAATACAATTAGTTGTAGTCGGACAAATTTCGATCGTTGATACGGCCATAAACCAATAGCGAGTAAAAGGATTCGATTGATATTGAAATTCTTAGTCAGGTCGAAATAAATCATCCTTCCTCGAATACCAAAACACGTTTGAGCGTGAAGTAGGTGGAGTTTCATTCATTTCCTCTCTCCTTGGTTGATTCATAAAATATATCATCATTTTCCTTTTTTTTTGTCACATTTTAATGTAAACGGTTTAATTTCGTGCAACATAATAAGCCGCGGGGAAATATTTCTGTGAATTCGGGATATTTGTAATGACACATTTTAATACTGGAACAGGTCATCAGACTAAGCGATCGATGAGACGTTTGAAGAAATTTTACGGGTGTTTATTTTCCATAGAGTAACACTCACCAGGTGGAACTTCCCTTAACGAATTCTGCGCATGCGCTGTCACTCTTTCGTAGTGCCACACGCTTCAGTCCTGTACAAGCTCTCATACGATACACATCCTGCCATTGATTTGAAAGTTGGTTGGTAAGTTGATCGGTCAACAAAATGTGCTGATTAGAGTTCTCGTTTCGATCCGTTTTCCGAATACACGTTTAAACGTTTAGTGTACATCCGTTTCGAAACATTTGATGGAAACCGTTTTGATATAATTAGTTGTTTAATTGTTTAAACGGATTCTGCTTTTCGTTTCTATTAAATTTGCAAAATGTTTTCAAAGTTACATATAAGATAGTTTTTCTATTATATAAAGACTGGTCTACTGTTTCCTGTGCGATCATTAGCTCATATAAATTAATTAATTCCTCACTAATTATTGTGATTTTTGTAAAAGGATATGTGACCTTCCTCTTTAGTTTAATTCGTTCTACTTGCACACCACGCGCGGATGCTGAGATAATCACCGGGCACCCTGTATAACTGTGGAATGTCAGTCGGTCTGTATACAATGTAATGGACATGAAAAGCGCCCGCATCGTCTAAGTAACGACTTTCTGAACTTAAATGACATATTGTGAGCATATAACAGCATATATGTAGCATTTGCAATTGTTGATACCAATTGTGGAATTATTAGGTATATGTTATATATAAGATTATTTTTGTATTTATTTGAAAATTGTTGGTTAATTTTTTAAATATATATCCTTCATTTGCTACAAGTGGTATTGTCTATCATTTAGGTGATTTATTTACGTGAAAGATTTATTTTTAACGAGAAAGTGCCACAGACAGATTAACATGACATGAATAATAACATGATCACAAACAAACATTGCTTTCATCAAACGTTGTAATCGTACCGTTACATCTTTCGATAAGTGATAAATCCTGATTATTTCTGGGTAGAATATATAACGGTGAAATACGATATAGACACGCTAAGTAGCTGCAACAAAAAAACATTTCCCATCGTGTTGTTTGTGCCAAAAAGCATACAAATTTACATATCTTTACACCCGATGTACTTCCTACCGAAGCGAAACTTTCTAAAGATCCTATAATTAATCCACCAATGTTCAGGCTGAAGGTCTTGGCGCCTCTTTGCAGGAGAAACAATATCATTCGCTGAATACGTAAAGGTGCTGCGTACCATTGGACATTGTATCTGTAAAATGACGATAAAAAACTAATAAAGGGAACTAATAATCAGCATGATCAGTGTATCTTCTTGCTATTTTCAAATAGATAATTTGAAAATCTAAAGAATATGTGTCATTACTATTTCAATATATGTGCGATTTGAAAGCTTCTCAAATTTTAGTTTTTCTATCAGTTCAGGTAGAACAAAAAATAATTTCAAAATAACTAGAAGATAACTAAAAAAATGTCTATAAAATCCATTTTCCAATCATTTCGTCATCATTTGATTCTGAAATTATTTTATCGTTATATTTATTCTTTCTGGGAGTCCGTTTATTGATCTATATAGTATAATAATAACAATTTACAATAGTATATGTGAATATTCCTCTTACGTGGTTACAAACACGTGGTTATTGTGATCCGTGACCTCTTGTGCTGCATAGTTTGCTAAAAACATATACGAGAGATTGAAACTTACATAACTGAAATGCAAGAAAAGCTCGTCCTTGTCGCCACCAAACGACAAAATCTGAAAGACCTGAAATAACAAGACAGAGGAGAATTTATTACGTAGTACTTCCAATTATTTATACAAACATACGTACGCACGCACGCATGCACATATGCACGTGAATAAACTTACATATCCTCACACACACATATTTAATACAGACGAATCATGTTATGTATATATAAAATATTTAAAGTTTAAAGGCACAAAAAATAAGAAAATGATTAAGTTATATGCAAATAATATTTCCTCTCTCTTGAAAATTTACCACGTTGTGATCGGTACGATTCTAAATACGATTTGTTGATTACTTTACTGCAGCAACTGAGTTATATATTCCTTTACTTATTTTTTCTTAATATTATACTTATAAAATAACATCTATAATTCGTATGCATTCTCAGGAAAACTAAACTACTCACTTGAAATAAATTAAGACTAAAAGAGAGCACACCAAACACTATTAAGAACATGAACATTCCCTCGAAGCGGGATACCAAAAGTCCGGAGTATCTTTAAAAATGGTATAAGAAAATGTTATTATAGGGATTTTATTGTTCTATCGAATAAATACCGACTTCATAGCCTTCCGATGAATGTCTACAGCGTAAATGATTTCCTGAACTCTTATCACGTTTTTTGGACCGATTTTCCGAGAAATATCATTTGAGAGTGCTTGTTCGATACGATAACTGTGAAAAATTTCATTTGCTGCAATGATGTAGTCTTTTTCTAAATTTGTTTGTAGTGACGATGAAGATATATCGACATTTAGTCGCATTTTACTCTATTAATTGTTTGCGAAAATTTTTAGTCTTTCTTTGCAAATTTTCGTTTCATTTTCATATAATTAAAAGACTAAAGTTTTTATGCAATTACATTTTATTTAATATCGCAATATTCCGCGTTTTTATTTCTATATTAAATTTTATTTCAATATTTTATTTCTATATTTTATTTTTATATTACATTTTTTTTCCTTCACCTGGCGATTCTGAACATTCCACAGACGTACGCAAGGAAAGCTGTGAACATCGGTCCTGTCGCCATTAATATGAAAGTTCCTATAAAAGTGGATGCTGCCATGTGCAATAAGATTAAAAAGAAATATCTTTCAGGATCGACGAAATACTCGGTGATAACTTGCATTGTATGATGCGTTCTAGATTCATTTGTAGGTAAAACGACGTCGAGGATGTGTGTCCAAATTAACGGGCAAACATAAATGCATATGGCACTAGCGCCGAGACCTTTAGAATTGTTTAAAAGAAAGTAGTTGTGTAGATCGCTGTTTCTTTGTTCTCATGAAATATAGAATATTTATTAATTTCATATTTTTTATCATTTATTCTTTTCAAATGATAAGATTCAATTGCTACAGACGATATCATATTGTCTCTTACACATAAGTGCGGCTGTGCAAAATTTTGCGATGTTTCCGTATTTCTTCATGATAATGATTTCATTCTCGTCTTTTAGTTCGTTACATATCCTTTGAAGTTCTTCCATTAAATATTTCACCTGTTATATCATTAACATAACGAACGTTTCACGTTATGAAATCCGAATAAGAATGATAGTGTATAAAAATCTATATATTTCGAGAATAAGTTTATTATATATATATATGTGTATATATATATATATATATATATATATATATAACGGTTATTGTTAACGTTGCTGAACTTACAGTTTGGCCGTTTGTCCAGAAATAGTTGTACTCGATTATATACATAAAAAAGAATATCGCGGAGCAGAGAATTTTAATGATAAATCGGGGTGTACATTCCGTGGTGAGAAACGCAGTAAACTACAAGCAATAGATTGATGGGGAAAAGAATAGAATGAATTAAGGGTGGGCTAAAAACGGACCATACGAGGAATAAAACTGGTCAAATAATTGTAAGGAATGACATATAGAAATGTGTAATATTAAATAACTAAGATCAATCTGTTCTTGGAACAATTGAGTAATCATAAATATTAGTGATAAACGATTTATTTAATGAAAAATAAAATAATTGAAAAAAAATCGTATTTGATGAAAAATAAAAACATTAATGTACCTGGAATATAACGAAGCTTGTTAGAACGACATATACCACAATTAGCTGTAATCGGGCAAAATTCGATCGTTGGTACGGCCATAAACCGATAGAGAGCAAAAGAATTCGATTTATATTAAAATTCTTATTTAAGTCGAAAGAGATCATTCTTGCTCGAGTATCGAGACGCGTTTGAACGTGGAGTTGTAGATGATGATTTGTTCATCCTTCTTCTGGATGACCCATAAAATATATCATCGTTTTCTCTTCCTTTGTAATATTTTAACGCAAATGATCTAATTGCGTGCAACGCAATAAATATCGGAAAATACTTCCGTTCGAATATTCACAGTTCGGGATATTCACAATGACACAGTTTAATGGAATAAGCGTTTAAAGAAATTTTTCAGGTGTTCGTTCTCCAAAGAGTAACGCTCATTAGGTGAAACTTACCTTAGCGAATTTTGCGCATGCGCTGTCACTCTCTCATAGTACTGCATGCTCCAGTCCAATGCGTGCCCTCATACGACACACATGTCTGATCTTTACTGGAAAGCTAGCCAGTCGGCCAGTTGATCGATTTGTCGGTATTGTAAAGTAGTACCGTTATTTGTAATTTAAAGCTTCTTTGAGCTTCATTTAGATCATTTTCTTTAATGATACTGGATCTCAACATCGAACCTCTGAATTTAACTTAAGCATATCGTGATTGTTGCTAAGTAATTAAGATGCGGTTAGGTTCTTCACTTGCGTTACTATTTTCTAAAGAGTGGCAATCATAAAATACATAATGTATAATTTCCTTATAACAAGAGAATAATACAAATAGAGTACCCAGTAAACATCAAGTATCAATAACATAATATCGATTTTATAATGTCCGATACAATAATATGTCTGTTACATAACATCACGTAATGTAACGTTATGTAACAGTTATATCGCTGTGAAATAATGAGAAATATTAATATAGGAGCACTAACCCATCTTCTTGCTATTTACAAATTCGTATTTCTGCAATAACAAAAAGACTTTGCAAAATGGCACATGACTTTTCTGCTCAGTTTCATTCGTTTTATCTGCACACCACGTGTACCGAAAAGGTTTGAGATACTCTATATATTTATGTATATCCTTTTGCATAATTATTTTTTTAATCGTGGAAAATATTTATGCGAAATAATGAAAAGTTATTATAAAAAGTCTATTGTAAGGAAATACCTGTTTTATGGTCAGCACTCTATAAAAGAAAAAATATTACTAGCATTCAAAAAGACGAAAAGAATTTCTGCTGACATTATTTTTTATTCTTTTAATTCTATATTGTCAGTAGATCACGATGAATTTAATATTGATGAATTATTTGGAATTAAATGAGAAAAAGTTAAAGTTAATGCATTTTAGATTAATTAATTTAAATTAAAACGTTAACTCACGTCAGCGCACATGTAGCATTTGCAATTGTTGACGCCTGTTGTGGAATTATTAGGTGTATGTTTTATATAAAATCATTTTTGTCTATATTTTAAAATTGTTGGTTAATTTTTTAAATATACATCCTTTATTTATTAAAAGTGGTATTGCCCGTCATTTAGGCGATTTATTTACGTGAAAGATTTATTTTTAACGAGAAAGTGCCACAGACAAATTAATATTATACGAATAATAACATGATCACAGACAAACATTGCTTTTATCAAACGTTGTAATTGTAGCGTTGTATGTTTCGATAAGTGAAAAATCCTGATCATTTCTGGGTCGAATATATAACGGTGAAGTACGATATAGACACGCTAAGTAGCTACAACAAGAAACATTTCCTTTCGTGTTGTTTGTGCCAAAAAGCATATTAATTTGCATATTTTTACATACGATGTACTTCCTACCGAAGCGAAACTTTCCAAAGATCCTATAATTAATCCACCAATGTTCAGGCTGAAGGTCTTGGTGCCCTTTTGCAGGAGAAACAATATCATCCGCTGAATACGTAAAGGTACTGCATACCATTGGGCATTGTATCTGTAAAGTGACGATAAAAAACGAACAAAGGGAGTCAATAATCAGCATTATCGGCGTATCTTTTTGCTATTTTCAAATAGATAATTTTTAAAATCTAAAGAATATGTGTCATTACTGTTACAATATATGTGCGATTTGAAAGCTTCTCAAATTTCAGTCTTTCTATCAGTCCAGGTAGAACAAAAAAAAATTTCAAAATAACTAGAAAATAACTAGAAAAGATGTCTATAAAATCCATTTTTCAATCATTTCCTCATCATTTGATTCTGAAATCATTTCACCGTTATTTTTTGTTCTTTCTGGGAATCTGTTCATTAATCTTTATAGCACATTAATAACAATTTACAACGGTATATGTGAATATTCTTCTTACGTTGTTACAAACACGTGGTCGTTGTGATCCGTAACCTCTTGTGCTGTATAGTTTGCTAAAAACATATACGAGAGATTGAAACTTACATAACTGAGATGCAAGAAAAGCTCGTCCTTGTCGCCACCAAACGACAAAATCTGAAAGACCTAAAATAACAAGACAGAAGAGAATTTATTACGTGGTACTTCCAATTAATGATACACACATACGTACACATGCACGCATGCACATGTGCATGTGAACAAACCTACACACGTTACATATCTACACACATACATATTTAACACAGACGAATCATGTTATGAATGTATAAAAAATTTAAGATTTAAGGGTACAAAAACTAAGAAAATGATTAAGCTATATGCAAATATTATTTGCCCTCTCTTGAATATTTGTCACGTTGTGATCGGTACGATTCTGAATACGAGTTGTTGATTATCTTTATAGCAGCAACTGAGTTATATATTCCTTTATTTATTTTTTCTTAATATTATATTTATAAAATAACATCTATAATTCATGTGTCTATAAATCGTGTGCATTTTCATGAAAATTAAACTACTTACTTGAAATAAATTAAGACTAAAGGACAGCACGCCAAACACTATTAAAAACATGAACATTCCCTCGAAACGGGATACCAAAAGTCCGGAATATCTTTAAAAATGGGATAAGAAAATGTTATTATACACATTTTATTGTACTATCGAATAAATACCGACTTCATAGCCTTCCGATGAATATCAACAGCGTAAATGATTTCCTTATGGATTCTTATCACGTTCCTTGGACCGATCTTCCGAGAAATATCATTTGAGAGTGCTTGTTCGATGCGATAACTGTGAACAATTTTATTTGCTGCAATGATATAGTATCTTTCTAAATTTGTTTGTGGTGACGATGAAGATTGATCAACTAATCTAATTTTACTTTATTAATTGTTTGCGAAAATTTTAGTCTTTCTTTGCACATTTTCGTTTCATTTTCATATAATTAAGAGATTAAAGTTTTTATGCGCTTACAGTTTATTTATTATCGCAATATTCCCGCGTTTTTACTTCTATATTAAATTTTATTTTTATATTTTATTTCTTTTTTTTTTATATTAAATTTTTTTCCTTTACCTGGCAATTCTGAACATTCCACAGACGTATGCAAGGAAAGCTATGAACATCGGTAATGTCGCCATTAATATGAAAGTTCCTATAAAAGTGGATGCTGCCATATGCAATAAGATTAAAAAGAAATATTTTTCAGGATCAACGAAATACTCGGTGATAACTTGCATTGTATGATGCGTTCTAGATTCATTTGTAGGTAAAACGACGTCGACGATGTGTGTCCAAATTAGCGGGCAAACATAAATGCATATGGCACTAGCGCCAAGACCTTTAGAATTGTTTAAAAGAAAGTAGTTGTGTAGATCACTGTTTCTTTATTGTCATGAAATATAAAATATTTTTCGTTTCATATTTTTTTATCATTTATTCTTTTCAAATGATAAGATTCAATTACTACAGACGATATCATGTTGTCTCTTACACATAAGTGCGGCTGTGCACAATTTTGCGATATTTCCGTACTTCTTCATGATAATGATTTCATTCTCGTCTTTTAGCTCGTTACATATCCTTTGAAGTTCTTCCATTAAATATTTCACCTGTTGTATCATCAACATAACGAACGTTTCACGATATGAAATCCAAATAAGAATGATAGCGTATAAAAATCTATATATTTCGAGAATGACTTTATTATATATATAACGGTTATTGTAATCGTTGCTGAACTTACAGTTTGGCCGTTTGTCCAGAAATAGTTGTACTCGATTATATACATAAAAAAAAATATCGCGGAGCAGAGAATTTTAATAATAAACCGGAGTGTACATTCCGTGGTGAGAAACGCTGTAAACTACAAGCAATAGATTGATGGGGAAAATGATAGAATGGATTAACAGTAGACCAAAAACGAACCATAGGAGGAATAAAAACGGTAAAATATTTTCGTAAGGAACGACGCATAGAAATGTGTAATATTAAATAACTAAAATAAATCTACCCGCGGAACAATTGAGTAATCATAAATATTAGTGATAAACGATTTTATCTAATGAAAAATAAAATAATTGGAAAAAAAATAAAAATCGTATTTGATGAAAAATAAAAATATTAGTGTACCTGGAATATAACGAAGCTTGTTAGAACGACATATACCACAAATAGCTGTAATCGGGCGAAATTCGATCGTTGATACGGCCATAAGCCGATAGATAGTAAAAGAATTCGATTTATATTGAAATTCTTATTCAGATCGAAGGAGATCATCCTTCCTCGAGTATCAAGATGCGTTTGAGCGTGGAGTTGTAGATGATGATTTGTTCATCCCTCCTCTGGATGATCCATAAAATATATCATCATTTTCTCTTCCTTTGTCATATTTTAACGCAAATGATCTAATTTCGTGCAACGCAATAAATAACGGAAAATACTCCCGTTCGAATATTCACAATTCGGGATATTCACAATGACACAGTTTAATGGAACAGGCGTTAAAAGAAATTTTACAGGTGTTCGTTCCCCATAGAGTAACGCTCATCAGATGAAACTTACCTTAGCGAATTTTGCGCATGCGCTGTCACTCTCTCATAGTGCTGCATGCTCCAGTCCAATGCGTGCCCTCGTACGATACATATGTCTGATCTTTACTGGAAAGCTAGCCAGTCGGCCAGTTGATCGATTTGTCGGTATTGTAAAGTAGTACCGTAATTTGTAATTTAACGCTTCTTCGAGCCTAATTTGATCACTTTCTTTAATAATACTGAATCTCACTTTTCAACATCGAACCTCTGAATTTAACTTAAACATATCGTGATTGTTACTAAGTAATAAAGATGCGGTTAGGTTCTTCACTTGCATTATTATTTTCTGAAGAGTCGCAATCACAAAATACATAGTGTATAATTTCCTTATAATAAGAGAATAATACAAATAGAGCACCTAGTAAACATCAAGTATCAGTAACATAATATCGATTTTATAATGTCCGATACAATAATATGTCTGTTACATAACATTACGTGTTATGTAACAGTTATTTCGTTGTGTCGGACTTTATAACATCAATGTTATGTTACTGACATTTAGTGTTTATTGGATAACATGTTACGAAAAATAACAGACCAGAATAAGTGTGAGTGTTACAGAATCTTGGCATAGTAACCTCCCAATGATTGAGCGCATGTAATCAATGTTGGGTGGAATACATGACGGTGAAGTAGGATATGGACACGCTAATAAGCTACAACAAAAATATTTTCTTCCGTTTTGTTCGTGTAAAAAAACACGCTTCGAATGCACATATTTTTGTACAGTACACTTCCTACCGAAGCGAAACTCTCCAAGGATCCTATGAATATTCCCCCGATGCTGATTTTGAATAACTTGTTGCTTCTTTGTATGAGAAATAATATCATCCTCTGTATGTGTAAAGGTGCTAAATACCAATGGACGTTGTACCTGCGAAATAACGAGAAATATTAATATAGGAGCACTGACACATCTTCTTGCTATTCACAAATTCGTATTTCTATAATAACAAAATGACACGCAAATAGTATTGTTAGTATGCTGAGTATGCTTTGCAAACTTTGTCAAATTTTAACCTCACTATTAGTCCACAAGCTTTACATTAATAATAATTTCAAGCGATATATAAAATAGCCTCTTACACGGTTACGAATAGATGATGATTGTGGTCCATGATTTCTTGTGCGATATAGTTGGCTAAGAACATGTATATGAGAATAACATTTATGTAAGTGAAGTAAAGAAGGAGCTCCTTTATGTTGCCACCCAATGACACAATCTGAAAGATCTGAAATAATATTATCTGAATTTTTTATTCAAAAATGCCAGATAATTTTCGCCGGATCCGTGATATACAGATAGGCCAGGTGAAATTGAATAGAAAAATCATGTACCATTTTGCAAAGTTCGCAATAGTTAATGAGAAATTTGCATGAGTTAATGAGCGCACGGGATGCGGTAAGTTGGACTCTGTATAAAGAAAAATGGCTTGCTTCTGAAGATCACCTAGTGACGATGAACATGAACTGATTTCTAGGTGCGTGAGGAAAACGTGCGGCATGTGACACAGAGCTGCGCGCGAAAAGAAATATGTCTCTGGTTTCAGTTGATATTTATCGTTGCTAGATCTTTAAAAGTAAGCTATTTTTCTTTATACGGAGTCCGGTCTATTGTTTCCCGTGCGCTTATAAGTTCACACAAATTAATTAATTCCACATTAATTATTGTAAATTTTGCACACGTAACACAAACCTCCAAAAGACATTCTAGGTATGCCCTAAAAATGAATATGCCTGGGACGTTTCTAAGATATTCGTAAGATGTCTGTTGAACATTTGTGCTATATGAGTTAAGGAGTTACGAATATGTGGACATCATGATCAGAGATTTCTTATCCAATACAGGTTCTTACCCAATATTGATTAAGAATATGTATATGAGAATGACAATGTGAACGATACGTTGAAAAAGTTTGTTTGTGTTGCTGCCGAATGACATAGTTCGAAAAATCTGCGACAATGTCGTCAACTCATTTCATATGAATTCTTGATTATTTTCATATGTGTAGCATCGTAACGATATATTTCTTTACATTACAAAATTTTTGTTAACTTTACGTAAATAAAATGATATCCAGCTTGCGTTTAAGTGCATACTTGTTTTTAGTGTATACTTAGGATGTCTAAATGACTCACTAGAAAGAAATTAAGGCTTAAACAGATCACGCCGAAAAATATTAAAAATATGAATAATCCCTCGAAGTTGGATATTAAAATTTCGGAGTACCTTTAAGGGCGGAAAAAGAAAATATTATTATATGTATTTTATTATATTAGCAAATAAATACTGACTTCATAGCTTTTCGATGAATGTCCACAGCATAAATTATTTCTTTACGAATTCTTATCTCCTCCTTCAGACCGATTTTCCAAGGAATGTCATGCAACATTGCTTGTTCGATGCGATAACTGTATAAACAAACAATTTTATTCGTTATAATTATTACGTGGACTCTTTCTAAATTTGTTCGTAGTAATGATGATCTATCTAAATTGCAATTTATTATGTTGTTTATAAAACCGTAATACGCAATTTTATTTTTATGTTAAACTTGCTTTTTTTCACCTGGCTATTCTGAACATCCCACATGCGTATTTAGTATACATTATGAATACCGTTCCTGTCGCCATTACTATTATTATTCCTATACAACAAGATGCGTCCATATGCAATAAAATTAAGTAAAAATATCTTTCATGATCGACAAAATACTCGGTCATAATTTGTGCCATACGACGTGTCCTAGATTCATTCGTGGACAGAACGTTGTCGAAAATGTTTGAACAAATTGGTAAGGAAAGAAGAGCACCCATGCAGCCAGCGCCAGTCCCTTTAAAATTGTTTAAAAAGAAATAGTTGTGTAGATCGCCGCTCCTTTGTTCTTGTAAAATATCAAATGCTTGTTTGTTTTATGTTTATTGATTATTTCGTCCATTTCAAATAATTCGAATATGAATAGGTATTTGCTACAGATAGCATCATGTTGTCCCTTACACGTAATTGCCGTCGTGTAAGATTTCGCATTGCTTCCGTACTCTTTTATGATGGCGATTTCGTTCTCGTTTTTTAGCTCGTCACATATCCGTTGAAGTTCTTCGATTAAATATCTTACCTGTTGTGTCATCAACGTAACGGATGTAACGGACCGTTTTACGTTGTGAAGTTTAGAAAAAATGGAATAATGTAGAAATCTACTTATTGGAAATAAGTTTGTTGTAACGAATATTGTAATAGTTGTTCGACTTACAGTTTGGCCGTTTACCCAGAAATAGTTATATTCAACTATGTACATAAAGAAAAATATCACGGAGCAGAGAATTTTAATGATAAACTGGTGAGTACATTCTGCAGTTACGAAAGTTGTAAGCTACAAACAATATATTGATCGAGAAATTTTCATTAAAAAACTAATGATTTGCACGCCCAAATTAATCAGTTACTTCTCTATGTGCTACAAAGAGTCAAGTTTTAATATTTTTAAATATGATATAATAATTAGTTGCCATTATAATCGTATTATACTGTTTGTAATTGAAAGTGATATATAAAATTGTAATATTAAATAATTAAAAGAAATATGTCTGTGAAACATACAGCTGAATTGTAAATATAATCAGTGATAAACTCAAAAAAATAGTTTTGCAGTCATAGCAGAAATTATCTAGATATGCGAAATTAGCTAAGATGGATAAATGGATAAATCTAGCAAACACTTCAATGTCACATGCGTGTTGTATCTAATCAATACAGGCGACAGAGACAGATTTTTTATTTGAAATATTTGTCTAATTTAGCAAGAAAATCTCTCTGTAGAGTTCATCCGGTCATCTAAAGTCAGTCACATTTCTTACTAAACATTGGTAACAGGATTTAAATTTTCTTGCACATATTGTTAGAACGCTGTTGCTGTAAATTATATGTACCACAGACAATTTTCTAGCAGATACAAAAAACAGCGATACATTCTACCTGTGACATTAAGAATTCTAGCTGGACCAGCAAAACATTTCCCTGAGTGATTTATTACGTGTGAGAAATAAAAATGTTTATTTACCTGGAATGTAATGAAGCTTATCAGAATGAAAGAAAACACGATTAATTGAAGTCGGGCGAATTTTGATCGCTGATACGGCCATAAGCCGATCGCGAGCAAAAGAATTCGACTGATATTGAAATTCTCATAAAGATCGAAGGAGATCATTTTTCTTCGAATACTGAGATGTATTTGAACGTGGTAATGGGAATGAAGTTTCCCTCATCCCTACTTCTCAGCGGATCTATAAAACATACCAGCGTTTTCTATTTTTTGTTACATTTTACGGCAAATGGTCTAATTTCATGCAACCTAATGAGTCACGGAAACTACTTTGACCAGTATATTTGCAACATAACTTTTTCACGGTGAAATAGAATTGCAGGATAATCGATCGATGAGTTGCCTAAAGAAATTCGTCAGGTGTTTATTTCCCATAGAATAACATTCACCAGGTGAAACTCCTCGTAATGAATTTTGCGCAGGCGCTGTCACTCCCTCACTACTCCTTGGTGCCAGATGCTTCAGTCGAGCGCGTACCTCCGTACGATACGCACGTTTGACTTTTGACTAGAAGGTCGGCCTGTCGGTCGGTGTGATGTGCGGATTTATCAGTAATAAAACCTCTTCTTTTAAAGTACCATACATTGTAACTGAAAACTTTTTGGAGCACTTTTTCCGATGAAAAATGCATTCTTCTTAATAATTCTGGATCTTACATCTTAACGTCTAAAGATTGAAACTCGGAATCTGACACAAATATGTCGTGATCGTCATTAACAAAGATGCCGTGATTTGATTCTTCACTTGCGTTATTATTTTCCAAACAAATGCAATTACAAAATGCGTGGTGTATCATTTCTTTGTAACAAGAAAACGACACAAACAGAGTGACATGTCATGAAGAATAACGTGAGGAATAACGTGGTCCGGTTAAGCCTTAATATTTTAAAACGTTGGCATAGTAACGTTACAGCTCCCAGTGTTTGACAAATCCTCGCATGATTATTATTGGATGGAGTACATGACAGTGAAGTAGGATATGGACATGCTGAGTAGCTGCAACAAAAAACATTTTTCTTCGTGTTGCTTGCGCAGAAAAAACACGCTCTGTGAATGCGCATATCTTTACACACGGTGTACTTCCTACCGAGGCAAAATTCTCCAAGGATCCTATGATCATTCCACCGATGCTGAGTTTGAATATCTTGTTGCCTCTTTGCAAGAGAAAGAGTATCATTCTCTGTGTGTGTAAAGATGCTAAGTACCAACGGACGTTGTATCTGCGAAGTGACGAGAAATTAATAAAAGAAATCAACGATGATGCACAGGTGATTTGCCGGTTCATATTTTTGCCTAATTCACAAATTTGTATTTTAGTAATGTAAAAACGGCACGAAAATAGTATTGCAGTACGTGTTGCAAACTTTGTTAAATGTTTCACTCTCTCGATTAGATTCCATTGTGTATATTAATAATTTCAAGAAATATATATGATGGAGTCTCTCTTACGCGGTTACGAACACATTATCATTGTGATCCATGATTTCTTGTGACATATAGTTGGCAAAGAACAAATATACGGTAATGACAGTTATGTAAATGAAATAAAGTAAAAGTCCTTCCGTGTCGCCACCAATTGACACAGTCTGAAAGATCTGAAATAACATCATGTATACTCTGTTTTAATACAGCTCGAATATTATTTTTTTAATATTATTCGGATCTCAGCCGGTAGTCCAATGAGAAAACTTAACTTCTAGAAACTAATAAAAACAAGTTTTTATCATTGAATCATCAGCGGAATTCCAAAAACATCGAAGAAACAATGTTCAAACTTTTTTGAAACCAAGTGCGCTTGTCATGTAGTATTTATTATTAGGAACACGCATATTTTATACTCACGAATTATTATATATAAAATGATATTTAAATTTAACAACAAACATAAATGTTTATCGTAAAAAGTAGGAAAAATAAAAAAAAACAATTATAAATAATATTTCTTCCGTTCTCAAAATTTGTCTCAAATACATATTAATTGATTATTCCCAAACTTGTAATTTGATAGTGAGAAGAAGACTCGCGCTGATAATGTAGCGTGTGTGCGATTTGCAAGCTTTGCCAAATTTCAGTTTTATTATTATTCGTCACCGTGATTTCATACGGTGATTTCAATGTATGATAATACCCCTTACGCGATTACGAATACGTGGTTATTGTGATCCCTAACTTCTTGTCCAATATAGTTAGTTAAGAATATGTATAGAAAAATCACAATTATGTAAACGAGATGTTGTTCAACACCGTCCGTGTTGCCATCGAATGTCACAGTCTGAAAAATCTGTCTGAGGCAACGCCATCGCCTCGTTACATACATATAAGTTTCCGAAAATTTTCACATGTGCATCGTCCGAGTGTTTCTTTACACCATAGAATTTTAAAAAATAAAATACAAGTAAAATGACATATAGTTCGCGTTTATGTATAATTGGAAAGTCTAAACGACTCACTTGATATAAGTTAAAGCTTATACAGACTACGCCGCACAGAGTAAAAAATATCAACGTTCCCTCGAAGCTGGATACAAAATTTAAGGTGTACCTTCAAGAAAGCGGAAGAAGAAAATAGAGTTACATGCATTTCATTGTATCATCCAATAAGCAACGTTGGGTAAGTTAATTTTTATTTTTATCTAAGCTAAGTTAAAAGTTCATGGCCTATAAAATGGACTTAGTTAAGTTAAAATTTATTGAAGCAAACAGAATTAAAAGTTAAGTTAAAATTAAATTAACGCATTAAAGTTACAAGATAATAACGTAAAGCATATACTCGTACAGGATGTCCCAAATCTTTTTTGGTTCCCGTGGTATACAGGTAGAACGGGTGAAAGTGAGCAGAACAGTTATGTATCATTTTGAAAATGAAGCGGTAGGCCAAGTTCTATAAAAAAAAAAATTATTTACTTCCGAAAATCTAACAATGATGAGCATCAACTGATTTCTAAAGACGGAGTAACGCAGCATAGGGCTGTGCGCTGAAAAGAAATACGCCTTTCAATATCAGTCGATACCCATCGTTGTTACAAGTTTTTCAGAAGTAAGCCATTTTTTTTATACGGAGTCCGGTCTATTATTTTCTGTGCGATTATTAGTTCATGCAGATTAATTAATTCCTCATTAACTATTACGAACTTTGCAAAATGGTACATGACTTTACTGCTCAGTTTCATTCGTTCTATCTGCACACCACCTGTACCGAAAAAAGTTTGGGATACTCTATATATTTATGTATATCCTTTTGCATAATTATTTTTTTAATCATTAATAAAATATTTATGCGAAATAATGAAAAGCTGTTATAAAAAGTCTATTGTAAGAAAATACCGACTGTTTTATGGTCAGAACTCTATAAAAGAAAAAAAATACTAGCATTCAAAAAGAAAAAAATTTCTGCTGACATTATTTTTCATTCTTTTAATTCTATATTATCAGTAGATTACAACGAATTTAATGTTGATAAATTATTTGGAATTAAATGAGAAAAAGTTAAAGTTAATTTTAAATTAATTAATTTAAATTAAAACGTTAATTCACAATTAACTAATTAACTAAGTTAAGTTAAATGATATTAACTTTTTACTCCAACTTTTCAATGAGTAACTAATTATTATCCGACCCTGCTAATAAGTACTGACTTCATAGCTTTTCGATGAATGTCCACGGCATAAATTATCTCTTTATGAACTCTTATTTCATTCTTTAGATCGATTTTCCAAGGAATGTTATACGATAGTGCTTGTTCAATGCGATAACTGCAAACAATTTCATTCGCTATAATTACTACGTGGTCTTTTCTAAATTTGTTCGCGGTGACGATGAAAATCAATTAAATCACAATTTATTATATTGTATTTAAAATTGCAATACTCTCCCAGAACCAGTATTTTATGTTAAATTTACTTCTTTCTTCACCTGGCGATTCTGAACATTCCACAGACGTGTTTAAGATATGTTATGAACGTTGCTCCTGCCCCAATTACTATTATAATTGATAAAAAACTGCACATGTCCATATGCAATAAAATTAAATAAAAATATCGTTCATAATCGACGAAATATTCGGTCATAATTTGCATGGTAAAACGCGTCCTAGATCCATTCGTAGACAGGACGTTGAGAATGTTTGGTAAAATTGGCAAAGAAAGAAGAATGCATAAGCCTCCAGCGCCGGTCACTTTAGAATTGTTGTAAAGGAATAAGTGTGTAGATTATTGATTCTTTGTTCTCATAAAATATCAAGTGCTTATTTGTTTTATGTTTATCGATTATTTTATCCATTTGAAATAATTAAATTTGAATACATATAGATATTTGCTTTAGACATCATGTTAACTCTTACATAAAAGTGCAGCCGTGTAAAATTTCGCGTCGCTTCCGTACTCCCTTATAATGGCGATTTCATTCTCATCTTTCAGCTCGTTACATATCCGTTGAATTTCTTCAATTAGAAATCTGAACTGCCATATCATCAATATAACATAAATATTTTCGCGTCGTGAAGTTCGGAGAAGAATAGAATAGCGTATAGAAAAATATTTAACAGGAATGACTTTATTGCAACAGGTATTATAATTATTATTCACTTACACTTTGTCCATTTGCCCACAAGGAGGTGTACCCAACTGCGAATATAAAAAAAAATAGTGCAGTGGAGAGTATTTTAATGACATGCTCGAAAGTGCATTCCGTGGTCAGAAACGTTGTAAACTGTAAGCAATAGATTGATTGAGAAATTTTTATTAAAAGATTAGTGATGTACACGTTCAAATTTAATAGTTGTTCCTCCGCGCGCTGCAAAAAGTACAAGTGTATATATAAAAATATTTATATTTCTTGTATAGTAATTAATTGCTACTTAGATTATTATATTGTTAATAATTCAAAATAATATTATAACATACATAAAAATATAATATGAAATAATTTAATAATTAAGATAAATATGTTCATGAAACAGAGTAATTTTAATTGCCAGTGATAAATGATTTATTACGTGATAAAAAGTGAAAATGTTGGCGTACCTGGAATATAACGAAGCTTATCAGAATGACAGAAAAAACTATTAGCTGACATCGGACGAATATTGATCGGTGATATGGCCATAAGCCGACAATGAGCAAGAGAATCCGATTGAGGTTGAAATTTTGATACGAGTCGAAGAATATCATCTCACCACGAGTATCGAGATGCATTTGAACGTGGAGATATTAGTGAAATTTCACTCATCCCCTCTCCTCAGCTGATCGATAAGATATACAAACGTTCTTACTTTCTCTGGCGTACTGTAATGCAAATTATCTAATTTCACGCAATATAGTGAGTCGCGGAAAATATCTCCATGAGATCGGAAAATTCGTGTTTTAACATTTTCATGGTGAGGTAGTACAACCGGCTAAACGATCGATATGTAACCTAAAGAAATTCATCAGGTGTTTATTTCCTATAGAGTATCACTCACAAGGTTTGACTTTCCGTAACAAATTTTGCGCATGCGCTGTCACTTCTTCGTAGTACCGCACGCTTCAGTTCAGTGCGTGCCCTCGTGCGATACACAAGTCTGACCTTTGATAGGAAGGTCTATCGGTTGATCGTCGGTTGGTCGGTCGGTTAATCGGTCGACATTATATGTCGATTTGTCACCAATAAATTCATCTCCGATAAGGTATCGTAGATAGTAATTATAAGCTTTCACGAGGGATTTTAGGTAACAAATTTGTTGTTTTGATATTTTAGAATCTCATATTTAAAAATGTTTCGATGTTGGGGAAACAAGACTCTTAATTATAATGGAACTTATAATTGATATCACTGTTGAATAATGAAAGTGTCGTTAGGTATTTATTTCATATTATTTTCTTGAATAAAGCGTAGTAGCGAAATTTATGGCGTAAAATTTATTTTTAATATGGGGGGATGCTATATATAGTCGTTGCCAAACTTGATAAGTGTCGATAACGTGGAGACAATCCTCAAAATGTTATGTCACATAAACACTGAAACGCTGATCATGATAGTCTTTTTGTTTCTTGTACGTATATATCTTACGTATATATAAATGCGATAAAAACATGAATGCGACAAATATGCGCTACTCTGTTTTATTTAACGGTAAAAAAATCTAACTGGGATATATAAAAATATTTCTACAAATTTTTTTTTATTTTTGTAGGCATCTAAATTTGATTAGAAAGATATAAAAATGTTCTTTGAAATGTTCTTAATTGGATCATTGATACATTCGACACGTACAAGCTGCAGGATTACTATATCAAATAAATATTTACGCTGACTCACAGCTGGAGACGTTATTTTAAAATTTTTAATCGTTTTCGTCACATATTAAATAACATTACAATGTTCATTTTTGCACGTACTTTCATTGCGTAAAAATATTTATAATTCTGTGCAACTAATATATATATATACAACCAATTATAACATAGTATAGATAATAAAGAGATTGAAGAATATTTCATTTATAAATTAGTAGTATGCACCAAAACCAAACTTAACAGTTGTTCTTTTCTTTTTCCGTGCGCTGTAAAAAATTCCAATTATAATATTTATATTTCTTACATATAATAGTTAGTTACCACTATAATTGTATTATACTAATTAATTAATTAAATATTAATACTTGAAAGAAATGTTATATAATACACGTAAAATTTAATTTAATTTAATATAATTTAATCAAATAATTAATATATATGTATTAATGAAATAATTTCAAATACTAGTGATAAATAATTATTACGTGATAAACTGTAAAAACTTTGGCGTACCTGGTTAGACTAAGTTCAGTCAATAGAATTATTACAGACAAATGTTGTTTTTATCAAACATTGTAATTGTGACGTTGAATCTTCTAACAAGTGATAGATCTTCGTGTGATCATTTTTGGATGGAATACATGACGGTGAAATAGGATAAGGATACGTTAATTAGCTATAACAAACAATATTTTTTTTCGTATTATGTTGGGAGATGCTTAAAATTTAAATATCTTTACATACGGTGTACGTCCTACCGAGGTAAAAGTTTCCATGGATCCCATTATTACTCCACCGATGGTGAGATTAATCGTCTTGGTGCCCTTTTGCAAAAGAAATAGTATCATTCTTTGAATATGTAAAGGTGCTGCGTACCACTGGACGTTGTATCTGTAAAATGAGAAGAAAAAAATTAATTGGCTCATTACTGACGAATTTTTTGCCATTTTAAATAGATTTGGATAATCAAGGGGAAGGGGAGGTTATGCTTATAGTGTTGCAGTACATGATTTGAAAGTTTCTCAAATTTCACTCTCGCTATTATTCCGCACATCGATATAGCACATTAATAATAATTTTGAGCAGTTATGTGAATAAGTCTCTTACGTGGTTACAAACACGTGGTCGTTGTGATCCGTAACTTCTTGAGCCGCATAGTTGCACAAAAACATGTGTAAGATACTGGTGAGTGCATACGTGAAATGCGTGCTGAACTCATCTACGTCGCCACCGAATGACATAATTTGGAAGATCTGAGACGAGACAAATGAAAATTTATTATTTGTACAGTTCAAATTTGTATTTAACAACGGTCCAGTGAAATTTTGTGTTACACACGTACAACATTCGAATTACATATTTTTTATATAATGTATTTTTTTTAACATTATATGTATAAAATGACTTATAATCCGCATTTAGATGACTGCTTTGGAAAACTAATATACTCACTCGAAATAAATTAAGACTTAAAGATAGCACGCCAACCATTATTAAAAGCATAAACATTCCCTCGAAACTGCATACCAACAATTCGTAATACCTTTAAGAACAGAAGAAGAAAATGTTATTATATACATTTTATCGTACTGCAAGCACTTTACTATACTAGTGAAAAAGAATCGACTTCAAAGCCTTTCGATGAATGTCCACAGCGTAAATGATTTCCTTATGAATCTTTATCCCTTTCTTTGGATCGCTTTTCCGAAGAATATCATTCGACAGTGCTCGTTGAATGCGATAACTATAAACATTTTCAATTGTTGCAATTATGTAGTTTCGTTCTAAATTTGTATGGAATGGACGATGAAAATTTATTATGTCACAATATAATTTATTAATTATGTGCGAAAGTTTTAGTCTTCTTCTTAAATTTTTGCTGTATTTTTATTTAGTCAAAATACTAAAACTTGCGCAAGCCTAATTTTTTAATCTACATCGCAATATTTTCAGTTTTCTTATTTTTATGATAAATTTCTGTCTTTACCTTGCAATTCTGAACATTCCACAGACGTGTATGAGGTACGCCGTCATCATTGTTCCTGTACTGATTAATATAATATTTCCTATGCAATAAGATACGTCCATGTGCAATAAGATTAAAAGAAAGTATTTTTCAGGATCGACGAAGTACTCGGCCATGAATTGTGTCGTGTAAGGCGACCTCGATTTGTTTATAGACAGAACAAAATCGAGAATACGCGGCCAAATTGGCATCGAAAAAACACCACATATTCCACTGGCACAGCCCACTTTAAAATTGTTGAAAAGAAGTATTCGTAAGCTTCTTTGTTCTCGTAAAATACCAAATGCTTATTCATTTTATGTATATTGACTGCTACTCAATTCAAATAATTAAGTTCAAATACAACTAGATATTTCTTAAATATGTGTATAATATTTGCATTATATTGTCTCTTACATGTAAGTGCAATTGTGGAAAATTTCGCGTAACGCCCATACTTTTGTATGATAGCGATTTCATTCTCATCTTTTAGCTCGTTACATATCTGTTGAAGTTGCTCCATCAGATATTTCACCTGCCATGTCAATGAAAGAATGTACATCGTTTCGCGTTAAGAGTTTCGAAAAGAAATCGCTGGACATGGAAAACTATTTATCGGTAATATATTTATTGCAACGAATATTTAAACATTTTCCCAACTTACAGTTTGACTGTTTGCCCAAAAAAAGTATTGTTCAATTATGAACGTAACACAATACAGTGTGGAGGAAAGAATTTTAAAGACAAGCCTAGTGGTGCATTCCGTGGTCAAGAACGTTGTAAGCTGTAAAGAATAAAGATTGATCGAGAAATTTTCATTAAAGAATTAATATTATGTCATCCGGCAAAATTTTATAATTATTATTATTATTCTCGTGTACGTTCTAAAAGTACGTTCTAAATTATATTATTTATAGAATATTTATATTATTTTAGACTTTCAGGCACACAATTACGCAAAACGTAGGTCAGTAACAGTTAAACGAGGTTGTTGATGCGAATACAGGTGTATTAAATTTCTTTGGGATGACAACATATGTGACGCACATTCCGATTTTACTTGTGATTTTACTTGTGAAGATACTTGTGAGACTTCTTCAAACATATGCTGGAAACCTCTCATGCTAAACCAACCCTGTTATTAATATTGATACCTCCAAATTCCTATTCTAACTATTAATTAACGAGTTCTACATTAATTGATTTTCTTGAATGTTGCGAAATGTCTGACAAATAAGTCGACGCGTATGTTACACCGCCAAACATTATTCTCCCAAAAAAAGTTTGTAATATATATTATTTATATTTATTATATAGAAGTTGAGAATTATATGATATATCTTGAATAAATAGAAATAATATCATATGTGTGAAATATAATATTAAAAAATGATATTACACATGCTCATAAAATATAGTTTATCATTGACGAATGATTAGTGAGTTTATCGTTGAGAGTTATGTAGTAATAAACAGATCATGATATGATAAAAAATTAAAAAGTTTGCATACCTGGATTGCGACGAGACTTATTTGATCAAGAGTAACCAGGATTAACTGAAATCGAGCGAATGTTGATCGTTGATATGGCCATAAGCCAACTGCCAGCAAAAGAATTCTATTGATGTTGAAATTCTCGTACGGATCGAAAGAGACCATCTCTCCTTGAATATAGAAACGCATCTGAGCGTGAAAATAGTTAATTTTTCATTCTTTCCCATTCTTCCGTCGACCGGTAAAATATGCCATTGTTTCCCTCTTTCTTGATGCATTTTTATGCAAATTATGTAATTTCACGAGACATAAAAAGTGGTAGAAAATATCTCTGAAATCGTAAAACTAACAGTTTCGTGCTGGAAGAGGATGGTAGATTAAGCAATCGATGAACCATCTCAGGAAATTTGGCAAGTGTTCGTTTCCCATACATTGACACACTCATCAGGTGAAACTTTCCTTAACAAATATTGCGCATGCGCTGTCGTAATGTCCCACGCTTCAGTCTAGCATATGTCCTCGTATGATATATACGTCTGACTTTCGACTGGAAAGTCGACCATTTCATTATTTGGTTATATTACATTCTGATTTATCTGCAATGAAATATCTTCCCGTGAAGTACCATAAATTGTAATTAAAAATTTCGAGCGTTTCTTAGATGAAAAATGAACACTTCTTAACGATTTTGGACCTCACACTTTAACGTTCAGACAACGAAACCCTGAATCTGACTCAAACATATCTTGATGGTCATTGAGTAACAGATGTGTCTTTAGTTTTTTCACTTGCATTATTATTTTCTTAATAATTATTATCACAAAACATATAGTGTATAATTTTAGCAGCGTACATTAACAACTCCGAGCTTAGTATGAAAAGACCTCTTACGAGATTACTACAACCCGAGATTTTTTGTGCAAGATCTGTAGTCAGTTAAGAACTTGTACAGGAGAATGAAAATTACGTGGATGAGAATACTATGAAAGTTTCTTTGTGTTGTCATTGAATAATACAATCTGAAAAACTTGAGACAATGTCATTAACTCATTACATCCATACACAGTATGTTCTAGCGAAAAGGTGACTGGTGTCAAACGAAAAACAAGGCGGACCTGCCGCTTTCCCAAGTTTTCCGTTAAAATGCGACGGACAGTGGTTTTAGAAATACCAGTGAGTCCCTCAATAAGTCTCGCAGACACATAGCCATCAGTCCGAAAAAATAATAAAATATAGATACCCAATTTTCGGAAATGCGTTTATTATTACGGATATTTTAATCATTGTTTGACTTACAGTTTAGCCCTTTGCCTAGAAGCAGTTGTACTCAACTGTGTACATAAAGAAAAATAAAGCGGAGCAGAAAGTTTAAATGATAAATTGCAGTATACATTCCGCGGTCAGTAATATTGTAAGCTGCAAGTAATAGATTGATCGAGAAAGTTTCTTTAATAAATTAGTACAACCAAATTTAAGTGGTCCTTCTCTTTTTCCGTGAGTTGTCAAAAATACTAATTATAATATTTATATTTCTTACATATAATAATTAGTTGCCACTATAGTTGTATTATACTGCTCATAAATGAAAAAAATGTTATATGACACATAAAATTTAATATCAAATAATTAAGATATAGATGTTAATGAAATAATTTCAAATGACAGTGATAAATAATTTATTACGTGGTAAACTGTAAAACATTGGCGTATCTGGTGAGGTTAAGTTTAATTAACAGAATTATTACAAACAAACATTGTTTTCGTCAAACATTGTAATCGTGACGTTGAATGTTTTAACAAGTGATAAATTCTTGTGTTATCAGTTTTGGGTGGAATACATGACGGTGAAGTATGATAGAGACACGCTAATTAGCTGTAACAAACAACATTTTTCTTCGTGCTGTTTGTGCCAGATCGACGCTTAAAATTGAAATATCTTTACATACAGTATTCTTCCTACCGAGGTAAAACTTTCCATAGATCCTGTTATTAGTCCACCGATATTGAGGGTGAAGGTCTTGGTGCCCCTTTGCAAGAGAAATAGTATCATTCTTTGAATGTGTAAAGGTGCTGCGTACCATTCGATGTTGTATCTATAAAATGAGAAGAAAAAAATGAATGCAGATAACAATTAGCTCACAATTGGCATATTTTTGCCTATTATAAACAGATTTGAGTATTCGAAGAAGGGAGTTATGTTTATAATGTTGCAGCACACGCACGATTTGAAAGCTTCTCAAATTTCACTCTCGTTATTAATCTGCACATCGATACACGTAGTATATTAATAATAATTTTTAGCAGTTATGTGAACAAGTCTCTTACGTGGTTACAAACACGTGGTCGTTGTGATCCGTAACTTCTTGTGCCGCATAGTTGGATAAGAACATGTATACGATATCGATAAGTGCATAAATGAAATGCATGCAGAATTCATCTGTGTCACCACCGAATGATACAATTTGAAAAACCTGAGGCAACAAGACAAATTAAAATTTATTATTTATACAGTAAACGACTTTATGTTTAAACACGTCTACAGAAATTTTTTGTTATAGTAAGATAGGAAATGCGTTAAAAAAAAAGATAATATAATGGTAAATAAACACATTCACCTTATCCCCATGTTGTATTTAACACAGGACAATTATATTACACATATTATATGTACACATAAAGTACTTAAAGTTTAAGAATATGAAAAATAGGAAAATAATCTAGCTTCATATGCAAATAATATTCCTTTCTTCTTGAAAATCTGTTACATTGTAATTGGTATGTTTCTAAACATTATTGCTTAATTATTTTTACACGTACAACATCCGAATTATATATATTTTATATAATGTATTTTTTTTAACATTATATGTATAAAATGACATGTAATCCGCGTTTAGATGACTACTTTGGAAAATTAATATACTCACTCGAAATAAATTAAGACTCAAAGAGAGCACGCCGAACACTAGTAAGTACATAAACATTCCCTCGAAACTGCATACCAACAATTCGGAAAATCTTTAAGAACAGAAGAAGAAAATGTTATTATACACATTTTATCGTACAGTACGCATTTTATTACACTATCGAATAAAAATCGACTTTAAAGCCTTTCGATGAATGTCCACAGCATAAATGATTTCCTTATGAATCTTTATCCCTTCCTTTGGACCGATTTTCCGAAGAATATCACTCGATAATGCTCGTTGTATGCGATAACTACAAACAATTTCATTTGTTGCAATTATATAGTTTCTTCTTAAATTTGTATGGAGTGACCATGAAGAATTATTATGTCGCAATTTAATTTATTAGTTGCTTGTAAAAATGTTATAGTTACTTTCTTAAGTTTTTACTATGTTCTTATTTAGTCAAAATACTAAAAGTTTTGCACAAATCTAATATTTTATTAAATATTGCAATATCTTCCGGCATTTAGCTTTATGTTAAATTTTTTTCTTCACCTTGCAATTCTGAACATTCCACAGATGTGTACGACATACGTTATGATCATTGTTCCCGTGCCGATTAATATAATAACTCCAATACAATATGATGTGTCCATGTGCAATAAGATTAAAAGGAAGTATTCTTCAGGATCGACGAAGTATTCGGTCATGATCTGTGTCTTGTAAGGCGTTCTCGATTTATTCGAAGTTAGAACGACATCGAGTATGCGCGACCAAATTGGCAACGAAAAAATACCGCATATTGCGCTGACACAGCTCACTTTAAAATTGTTGAAAAGAAGTATTCGTAGTCCGCAGCTTCTTTGTTCTCATAAAATATCTAATGCTTATTTGTTTTATTTGTATTGATCGTTTACTCATTTCAAATTATTATGTTCGAATATAATCAGATATCTGTTAAATATGTATACAATAATTGCATCATATTGTTTCTTACATGTAATTGCAGTTGTGATAAATTTCGCGTTATTCCCATATTTTCTTATAATAGCGATTTCATTCTCGTCTTTTAATTCGTTACATATCCGTTGAAGTTGCTCAGTCAGATAAATCACCTGTCATATCAACGAAAAAACGTGCATCGTTTTATGTGGTGAAGGTCGAAAAAGGATCGCTCGGCGTGGGGAACTATTTATTGGAAATACATCTATTGCAACAGGTACTTAATCATTTACTCAACTTACTGTTTGACCGTTTGCCCAAAAATAGTAATGTTCGATTATGAACATAATACAAAATAACGTGGAGGAAAGAATTTTAATGATAAGTGTAATAGTGCATTCCATAGTCATGAACGTTGTAAGCTGCAAATAATAGACAGTGATCGAGAAATGTTCATTAAACATTTAATAATACATCCGATTAAATTTGTTAATTATTATTTTTCTCCCGTAAATCCTAAAGGTAGAAATTACATTACTTCCAGGCTATATTATATTATGCTTTTAGGTATACAATTGCAGAAAACATAAGTCAGTAATGAGTAAATTAGGTTGTTCATGCTAATACATGTATATTAAACTACGTTGGGATGATAAAATGATTGACGGTGTAACGTACATTCTGATTTACTTGTGAGACTTCTTCAAACATATTCTATAAATCTCCCACGGCGAACCGACTCTGTCTACTCACTAATAATGATAACTACTAAATTCCTATTTCAATATATTAATTAATTAATTCTGGATTAAGTAATTTTCTTAAATGTTGCGATATATCTGACAAATAAGTTAACGCGTACGTTACTCCGTCAAACATTAACCTCCCAAAGTTTAATATATATAATATTTATATTTATTATATAGCATTTGGAAACTATATGATACATTTTTGATAAACATAATTAATATCACATGCATAAATATATAATATTAAAAAATTAATTTATATATATTTATGGAACATAATTTATCATTAACACATTGAGTGCCACGCGCATTTCGGAGGAAATCTCGTTCAGGCCAAAAAATTAAAATTTTTTGATAAGAAATATTTAAATATATTAATTATACGATTCTGAAATTACTTATTAAACTATGTAATTTTTTTAGTTTCACATCGTACTTTATACTGTCAGTCACCGGTGACTGACGTGGCACTCAACGTGTTAACTAGTGGTGCAGTGATAATAATTCATCATAATTTAAAAAATTAATATCAAACTTAAATTTAAACAAATTAGCATACCTGGATTGCAACGAGGCTAATTAGATCAAGAGTAACTAGGATTAATTGAAATTGAACGAGGGTTGAGCGATGATACGGCCATAAGCCAACGGCAAGCAGAAGAATACGATTGATATTGAAATTCTCGTACGGGTCGAAAGAGACCATCTCCCTTTGTGTATTGAAACGCATCTGAATGTGAAAATAGCTGATGTTTTGTTCTTCCCCACTCTTCCGTTGATCGATAAAATATTCCACCGTTTTCTCTCTTCTTGATACATTTTTATACAAATTGTCTAATATCATGCGATATGAAAAGTCACGGAAAATATCTTCGTGATATCGGAAAATACATGATTTAAAATTTCATGGTAGAATAGGACAGTAAATTAAGCGATCGATGAAATGTTTCAGGAAATTTGGCAGATGTTCATTTCTCATTCAGTAACACTCATCGAATGAATTTTTTACCGAACTTTGCGCAAGCGCTATCACTTTTTTGTTGTGCCGCACGTTTCATTTTATTGTGTGGCTTCGTAAGACACACATCGGAGCTTTGAAAAGAGAGTTAATCAGTGGATCGGTTTTATGTTCTGGTATCAACTATAAAATCATTTGTGGTAATGTATTGTCTATTGTATCCACAAACTTTGTCGGGAAGATTTTCAATTTTTTTGTAAGAGTAATTTGTCACGTATTTTGAATGCAAACGGGCAAACTTGTTAAAAACAATAAAATACAGTTTTTATTACACGTAATTCTATTGTACATATGTGCAATATAAAATTCCGCGTTGCTTTTTCTTTATGAAGGCGATATCCTATCTTCTAGCTTGTTACATATCCTTCCATGTTCCTTCAGTAAATATCTTGCTTATCGTAACATGAATAAAACGTAAACCGTTCAGCATCGCAAAGATTGGAAAAGTATAATAGAATACGGAAACCGACTTTTCGAGGAAGGGTTTCATATTTTAAAGGAGTTACCGTAATGGATATTGTTTGATACAGTTTGGCCGTTTGCGTAGAAGCAGTTGTACTTAACTGCATATATAAAGGAAAATATAGCGGAGCAGAAAACTTTAATGATAAATGCCGGTATATATTTCACGGTCAGAAATGTTTAAGCTGCAAATAATAGATTGATCCAGAAAGTTTAAATAATAAATTAGTAGTATGTCTGACCAAATTTAACAATTATCCTTCACTTTTCTCGTGTGCTGCAGAAAAGGACTGCTTACAAAACTAATTATAAAATTTAATTTATATTTCTTACATTTAGTAATTAATTACCACTATAGTTGTATTATACTGCTTATAGTTGAAAAAAATGTTATATGATATACGTAAAATATAATATCAAATAATTAAGATAAATCATAAGTTCATGAAATAAGAGAGTAATTTCATATGCCAATGATAAATAATTTATTACTTGACAAACTATAATAACGTTGTCGTACCTGATTAAGTTCAGTTAATAGAATTATTATGGACTAACATTGCATCAGACATTGTCAAATCGTGACGTTGAATGTTTTAACAAGTGATAAATTCTTGCGTTATCAGTTTTGAGTAGAATAAATGACAGTGAAGTAGGATAGGGACACGCTAATTAGCTGTAACAAACGACATTTTCCTTTGTGTTGTTTGTGCCAGATAAACGCCTAAAATTGAAATATCTTTACATACGGTGTACTTCGTACCGAGGTAAAACTTTCCATGGATCCTATTAGTAGTCCACCAATGGTGATGGTGAAGGTCTTGGTGCCCCTTTGCAAGAGAAACAGTATCATTCTCTGAATGTGTAAAGGTGCTGCGTACCATTGGACGTGGTATCTATAAAATGAGATGAAAAAAATGTATGGAGCTAACAATTATCTCACTATTGGCATATTTTTTGCCATTTTATACAGATTTGGATATTCGGAGGAAGGAGTTAAGCCTGTAATGTTGCAACATATGCACGATTTGAAAGTTTCTCAAATTTCACTCTCGCTATTATTCTGCACATCAATATACGTAGCACATTAATTATAGTTTTGAGCAGTTATGTCAACAAATCTCTTACGTGGTTACAAACACGTGGTCGTTGTGATTCGTAATTTCTTGTGCCGCATAGTTGGCTAAAAACATATATACGATATCAATAAATGCATAAGTGAAATGCATACAGAACTCATCTATGTCGCCACCGAATGACATAATTTGAAAGACCTAAGGTAACGAGACAAAAGAACATTTATTATTTGTACAGTAAACAATTTTGTATTTAAAGACGGCTACAGAAATTTTTTGTTATTGTAAAATAGGAAATGTGTTAAAAAAATAGACAAATATAATGTTAGAAAAACACATTCACCTTATGAATATGTTGCGTTTTTACACAGGCAAATCATATTATGTACAGTTAAAGTACTTAAAACTTAAGAACATAAAAAATAGGAAAATAATCTAGCTTTACCTGCAAATAATATTTTTTTTTTTTTTGAAAATCTGTTACATTGTAATTGTCATAATATTAAGTACTAGTGCTTGATTATTTTTGTTTTACATATGTAGCATCTGAGTTACGCATTCTTTTATATAATATATTTTGCTAATATTATACGTATAAAATGACATGTAATCCGCGTTTAGATGTCTGGTTTGAAAACTAATATACTCACTCGAAATAAATTAAGACTTAAAGAGAGCACGCCGAACACTATTAAAAACATATTCATTCCCTCAAAACTGGATAGCAGCAATTCGCAATATCTTTAAGAACAAGAAAAGGAAATGTTACTATACACATTTTATCGTACAGTACGCATTTTATTATACTATCGAATAAATATCGACTTCATAGCCTTTCGATGAATGTCCACAGCATAAATGATTTCCTTATGAATCTTTATCCCTTCTTTTGGACCGATTTTCCGAAGAACATCACTCGATAATGCTCGTTGTATGCGATAACTACAAACAATTTCATGTGTTGCAATTATATAGTTTCTCCTTAAATTTGTATGGAGTGACGATGAAGAATTATTATGTCGCAATTTAATTTATTAGTTGATTGTAAAAATATTATAGTTATTTTCTTAAGTTTTTACTATGTTTTTATTTAGTCAAAATACTAACAGTTTTGCAGAAATCTAATATTTTATTTAATATTGCAATATTTTCCGGCATTTATTTTTATGTTAAATTTTTGTCTTTACCTTGCAATTCTGAACATTCCACAGACGTGTACGACATACGTTATGATCATTGTTCCCGTGCCGATCATTATAATAACTCCAATACAATATGATATGTCCATGTGCAATAAGATTAAAAGAAAGTATTTTTCAGGATCAACGAAATACTCGGTCACGATCTGTGTCTTGTAAGGCGTCCTCGATTTATTCGTTGTTAGAACGACATCGAGTATGCGCGGCCAAATTGGCAACGAAAAAAGAGCGCATAGACTGCTGGCACTGCTCACTTTAAAATTGTTGAAAAGAATATTCGTAGTCCGCAGCTTCTTTGTTCTCGTAAATATTAAATGCTTTTTTTGTTTTATGTGTATTGACCTTTTACTCATTTCAAATTATTAAGTTCGAATACAATTAGATATTTGTTAAATATGTATACAATAATTGCATCATATTGTCTCTTACATGTAACTGCAATTGTGTACAATTTCGCGTTATTCCCGTATTTTTTTATAATAGCGATTTCATTCTCGTCTTTTAATTCCTTACATGTCCGTTGTAGTTGCTCCAACAGATATTTCACCTGTTATATCAACGAAAAGCGTGTATCATTTGCGTCTTGAAATTCGCGAAGGAATCGCTGGGCGCAGGAAACTATTTATTGGATATATATTTATTGCAACGTGTACTTTAATCATTTGCTGAACTTACTATTTGATCGTTTGCCCAAAAATAGTAATGTACGATTATGAACATAATACAAAATAACGCGGAGGAAAGAATTTTAATGACAAGTGTAATAGTACATTCCGCGGTCATGAACGTTGTAAGCTGCAAATAATAGACAGTGATCGAGAAATTTTCATTAAAAAATTATTTATATGCTGGATTAAATTTGTTAATTATTATTATTTTCCCGTAAGTCCTATAGGTAGGAATTATATTACTTATAGTCTATATTATATTAGGATTTTAAATATATAATTGCGGAAAACATAGATAGGTTAGTTAATAACTAAGCTAAGTTGTTGATGCGAATACATGAATATTTAACTTCTTTGGGATAATAATATTTGTAACGGTGTAACGTACATTCCGACTTACTTGTGAGACTTCTTCAAACATACTCTTGAAATTTCCCACGCCGAATCGACTCTATTGGGATGATGCATAATTATCCGCCGTTTACTTTGTACGTATTTATTACTTATGAATATGGGCGTTTGTTTATTTTTCATTAAAAATCATTCTTCTATATTTTCTTAATAGAAATGCGTGTAGAAAATCATATTCATCTGCGCCATGTTATGCTCTACCACTTCGAGAAAGAATGGACTGCGGCACAGTCATTCCACGATTTCAATGATGTTTTTGGCGAAGGAACTATCAGTGAAAGGCAGTTTCGAAGAGTGGTTTTCTTGATTCAAATCTAGCGACACAAGCATGGAGGACAAGTTAAGAAGAGGACGGCCATCGGATTTCGACGATCAGGCACTTCTGGCAGCTGTGTTCCTTCGCCAAAAAGATCATTGAGATCGCGGAATGACTGTGCTGCGGTCCATCTATTCTCAAAATAGTAGAGCATAATATGGCGCAGGTGAATATGATTTTCAACACGCAATTCTATTAAATTAACATAGAAGAAAGTTTCTTATTAATAAAACAAACAAACGCCAATAATAATAAGTAATAAATACGCAAAATGTAAACGGCGGATAATTATGCATCAACCAAATACTTACTAGCAATGAAAACCTCAAAATTCCTATTCCAATCTATTAATTAATTAATTCTTCATTAAGTGATTCTCTTAAATATTGCAAAATATCTGATAAATAACTCGACGCGTGCGTTACACGAGCAAACATTAACCTCCCAAAGTTTAATATATGTATTATTTATATTTCTTATATAGCATTTGGAAACTATATGATATATCTTTGATAAACATGATTAATATCATATGCGTAAATATATAATATTAAAAAATTAACTTACATATATTTATGGAACATAATTTATCATTAACAAGTGATGCAGTGATAATAATTCATTTTATGATAAAAAATTAATATCAAAATTAAATTAATATAAGTAGCTTACCTGGAATGCAACGAGGCTTATTAGATCAAGATTAACCAGGATTAATTGAAATCGAACGAGGTTTGAGCGCTGATACGGCCATAAGCCAACGGCGAGCAGAAGAATCCGATTGATGTTAAAATTCTCGTACGGGTCGAAAGAGATCATCTCCCTTTGAGTATTGAAATGCATCTAAATGTGAAAATAGCTGATGTTGCGTTCTTCCACATTCTTCCGTTGATCGATAAAATATTCCACCGTTTTCTTTCTTCTGAATACATTTTTATGCAAATTGTCTAATATCATGCGATATGAAAAGTCACGGAAAATATCTTCGTGATATCGGAAAATTCACGATTTAAAATTTCTTGGTAGAATAGGACAGTAAATTAAGCGATCGATGAAATGTCTCAGGAAATTTGGCAGATGTTCATTTCTCATACAGTAACACTCATCGAATGAATTTTTTACCGAACTTTGCGCAAGCGCTATCACTCTTTTGTAGTGCCGCACGTTTCATTTTATTGTGTGGCTTCGTAAGACACACATCGGAGCTTTGAAAAGAGAGTTAATCGGTGGGTCGGTTTTATGTTCTCGTATCAACTATAAAATAATTTATGCTAAGGTATTATATATTATATTCGCGAATTTCTTCGAGATGTTTTAAATGATAGAGTTACTCCTTTTAGATGTTTTCAGATTTTACATTTTAACGTCCAGATATCGAATCTCTCAATCTAACTTATATTTAACACGATCGTCATTACGCAATGAAGGTGTCTTAAATTCTTCACTTTTTAATAGTAATCAAAATACACACTTTATAATTTTTCTTTTAATAAAAGAATAATACTGATTGAGTAATTTGAATGCAGACGTGAATGCAGACATGTGTACTTTGAAGCGCTGTGCAGATCATTGCAGTGTGAAATGGATTTTAGTTATCGTTTGCGACATTTTTCATATATTTTTTAGAATCAGGGTTCGGATCTCTTGTTACAACATGACAATCTCTACATTGCCTGTGCAATGGTTGCAACCATCCAAAATCTGCGCCTCAAGTGTACTTTCTTTATCCGTCGTACTTACCTGATATTTATCTCTAATGTTTATCGCATTTTGGGCCTCTCAAAATAGCGATGAGAAAAAACTTTTAAGTCTGATGAAGAGATGCAACAAGTGGTGTATGAGTGATTGCACATGCGACCACAAGATTTTTTTTTAAAGGAATCCATACATTTTGTAAGCGTTGGCGAACTTATTAAGCTTTTAAACGTAATGAAGACTATGTAGAAAAATGATATTAGTTTTAAACCACCTTTGTTCAGTGTATTATGAAAAAATATTCATTTGTCTCACTCTTATATATACGTACATACATACATACATACATGCATACATACATACATGTATACACACATACATACGTACATAGATACATATATAGATACATATATGTAAGTATACATACACACACACATACGTACGTACATACATACATATATACGGGGCATCTGACACAAACAAACATGTGCCATCCGTCACATACTTGTAGTTTAAGTCAATGTGGACAAAATGTCTTCTGTTATTAATTATTGAAAATGGCCATGTACAAAAACATCTTTAAATAATAACTAAAAAATTTGCAGGTTACTTGCAAAACGTAAAGGACTCTTTCGTTCAGATTGGCATAATCTATAAATATATAACAGTTTTCTTCGTAATTCCGAATTGAATAGATCGTCAACAAATTTGTTTGCATTATAACCAACTCTTTCTTTTCCTCCCTCTCTCATTTCGTCTTGCTATTTAATTAGATTTTACACTAATATATCATTTTGCAACACTGTTGGTTTATTGATCTCATTTCCATGTAGAATAAAGGACTGTGAAGTAAGATAGTGATGCGCTTGTGATCTGTAACAATATACGTCCTCGTTGATATTTGTTCGTATCTAGTGTATTTCGTTGAGTAAGTTTTGACGGATAGAAAATCTTTCATACTGTGGAGGCACTTTCTAAGGATGCCACGATCAGTCCACCAAGTTTCAGTTTGAGATCTTTGATGCCAATTTGTATCAGGAACAACATCATCTTTTGTATATCCAATGGAGCTGTGTACCATTGAACGTTGTACCTATAGAAGAAAGAGATACCGATAATTGAAAAAGAAGAAAAAGGTACGACGAGAAAATTTCTATGTTTTGGTGAAATAAAAATTTTTCAAAATGTCCAGTATCTGTATGTACATCTAACGAAATACAACATGAAACCTAACAAAATACAATTTCTTAAAGCGGATATACATAAAGCATCACGTTATCGTACTTGTACAGTGTGAAGATTCTCTTACACTGTTTCGAACACATGATTATTGTGATCCGTGACTTCTTGCGCGATGTAGCTCATTAGGTATAAATACAAAAGAATAGAAATTACAAGCGACAGATGTAACAAAAGTTCTTCGACATCGTCCATGAATGTCACAAGCTGGAAAGTCTAAGACGCACATAATTATTATATAAATTCCTTCTGTGTTTGACGATTAGTTATTCTTTAAATAAATCTGTTTGTCGAGAAAGAGTTGAGGGGATAACAAATAAAAGAGCAAGGTGCACATTTTAATTTTGCTATGTTTTGTGGAAATTTTGCACTTTTGTGGTTAGACGATTTTAGAATTGACACGGTGTGAAAGTGAGGTCGTTATTCGTTCTTGTGGTTTCTTCGTCGTATATATATATTTCTTTTCATTTATATGGGTTTTGTAAATTTAGATATTATGAAATACCGCATTGGTTATTTAGATATATATTTAAAAGTAGCAGAAAGACTTACACGGAACAGATTGAGACTCAAGCAAGCCACACCAACCGCCAATATACAAAAGAACATTCCTTCGAAACTGGTTACAACAAATTTAATGAACCTTATGAAGAACAAGAAGGTGTGTTATCGCGCATACCATATCTTTATCAGTGAATAAATACCTCAAAGATTTATGATGAATGTCCACAGCGTAAATTATTTTCTTACAAATTATTACATCATCCTTGATGTTTGGTATGATGTCGTTGTTTATGGCTTGCTCTATACGGTAACTATAAATAATATATTCTTGTTACAGTTATATAATCTAATTAAGTCTGCTAAATATAACAAGTAAAATTTTATTTATAATCCCAATTAAGCCAAGTGATTTTGTCCGATTAATCTAACATCCAAATATCCAATTTATAACCGGGTTAACGATTTAAACCGGATAACTGATTTTTTTAACTTGATTAATCAGAATCAAATTTTCTTAGTTATTCGAATATTGTGATTAACAGGATTGAATGATTAATTGGTTTGAATAGTTATCCGATTAACTGGATTATCTGATTGATCGAGTTCAAAAAATCCTACATCCGTTTTTAAATCGTTAAACCGATTATGAATCGGTTAATCGATATAGTGATTAATCTGTTTTCACGAGCCCTAACCCTAATATCCGCTAAACCATTTTTTAATTTTATCTTTATAAACTTATTTCTTTACCTGGCGATTTTAAATATTCCGCAGGCATGTTTGAAATACGTTAAGAACATCGCTGCGGACGCAACCGTCGCGATCGTTCCAATGGAAAATGATACATTCATGTGCAACATAATCAGGTAGAAATATCTTTCTTGATCGACAAAATATTCCGTTGTGACTTGCAACGTACTATGTGATCGGGAGTCATTTAAGAGTAGGAGAAAGCCAAATATCCGCGGCCACACTGGCTGCACGTTAATAGCAATTACGAAGCACATCGCAAGCACTAAGGATATTTAACAAAGTAATCATCAAAGTCGTTAATTTTTCGAAACATTATATTGTTGCATTGATTTAACGTTGCTCTCTAGAGATTACTATATTAGACGTTTCTTTCTAAAACAGTCAACGGATATTCCCTTACATGAAAGTGTAATCGTATAACGTTTCGCACTGCATCCATAATTTTTTATGATACCGATTTCATTCTCATCCTTTAATTCATTACAGATTTGTTGAAGTTCCTCCAATAAATATTTTACCTACCAACGAAGAACTAACGAACTTACGTAATTCCACGTTGCGATATTGTAACGAGATTGCGCAAGAGAAATAAGAATTCACTTATGAGAAGCATTTCTAATAGGATATATACACAAAATGATTACCTTACATTTTGAGTGTTTATGCGAAACGCGTTGTATTTAATGAGATAAATAATGGAGATACATGTGATAGAAAGAACATTGATAATAAATTCCGGAGTACATTCTGTGGTTAAAAAGGCCGTAAGCTGCAATTGATAAATTTTTTTTTTAATGACATTAAAATGAATCGATTTTTCTATTCAGGCTGCAAAATGCGAGTTTAAAACAGTCAACTACATTCTTAGGCGCCTCGTAATACAGCGAGCAGTTTGCAATCACATTGCACAATAGTTGTATTAATATTAATATTATTAATTGTATCTACACTAAAAAAAAGATGAACGGTTTCCATAACTAGCAGCACGGATTACTTTACGTACTTGGAATACGATGGAGCTTGTCAGAATACCGATAATTAAGATTATCTGAACCCGGACGAGTTTCGATTGCTGATAAGGCCATAAGCCAATCGCCAGCAAAAGAATCCGATTGACGTTAAAATGTTCAGTTTGTATACAGATCATCTCTCTGCGGACGCTGCGATACGTTTGACGGTGAGGAAGCCGTCGAGGCTTCGCCCATCCCCACTTTTCGACCGTTCGGTCGTATATTTCAGTCTTACCATTTTCCCAACTCTATTTCTATTCTAACTATGTAACAACGTAGACGATCTAATTTGACATAAACGTAGCGCAAAGTGGCGCGAAATATCACCGTGTGATAGGGACACTCGCGGTTTAACGTATTCGCCGGTGAAAAGTACGGTAGTTGCGTAATCGATTGAATACAAACGTAATTTCAATGGACGTTTATTTCTCATCGAGAAAATATTAGCGAGAGTACACACTTGTCGATGAAGCGCCACGCAGATGCAGTTACCACCTCGCGCAGCAACGCGTTTTCACTTGCTTCATTCTTGTGCATACACTCGCAAATTAGGTTTGATACTTTGAAGAGACGTTAGTCTTCCTGCCTTCGAAACCAACATACCGGCTATCAATTTGTTATACCGATAAGAGGCCGCTTTTTTACTGAAAATATCTCGGTTTTACGTTCGCCCTGGTATGAGCTACTTAGTATCTATCACATTTTTGCGACTTTATTCATATACGGGAAAAATTAGTATCAATTCAAAACTCATGTTCTTACATACAAGCAAGAATATATAATTTTATATAAAGATAAAACTTGCTTACATGAAGAAATTCTACATAGTTTCACTAAAAATGTCATATTCTTATTATTCAAAAATAATTTTCCTAAATTGAGAGGAAAATTATTAAATAGAAAGATATCTTCAAATTGATACAATTCTTGGTTTGAAGATATCGATCTTTCTATTTAATATCTTTATAAATATTCCTTCCTCTCAATTTATGAAAATTATTCTTGAGTAATTTGAATATAATATATTTAGTGAAGTTATATAGAATTTTTTTCATATAAGCTAGTTTTATTTTCATATAACATTATATATTCTTTCTTATATATGAATATATGTCTTGAACAGATACTAATTTTTTTTCCGTGTAAATCGGCAAAGTTTCTATCTAATATTTTAGTCGGCTTTTTGCTAGTGTTTAACTAAGCTCTCTTTGAACGCATATATATTATATTATTATTTAGTAATTAACAATTAATTCTTACGTCATTGTCGCGTGGAATAAAGGATGGTGAAATAAGATATAGAGGCACTTGCCAACTGTAAGGAAAATTGTCTTTCTTTGTAACGTTCATTCGTAATATTCTGTATGTTTGATGTATTGCGATGTAATGTGAAATATTATTCTGACCGTGGAGGCACTTTCTAAAGATGCCACGAACAATCCACCGAAATTTAATGTGAAAGCCTTAGTGCCCTTTTGCAACAAAAACAGGATCATCTTTTGTATGTGCAACGGAGCTACGTACCAACGGATATTGTATCTACGGAAAACATTAGTGAGTGATAATTGGAAGAAGAGACAGAATAATTATCAACGAACGTTTATATATATCTGCGGTTGTCCCAGAGCGCTCAATAAATTACGCATCTTCTATTTATTTATATTCGCTATAAATATTCGTATTCGTTTCATAAGTTGTAATCACAAAGCGACTCAGCTGGAGCAAGTTATTTCACACATGTAAATACAATAACTCTCTTACGCTGTCACAAATATGTGCTCATTAGAATCCATAATTTCCTGTGCGACATAGTTCATCAGGAATATATATAAAAGAATGGTAACTACGAACGCGATACGTAATATAAATTCTTCAATATCATCCCCAAACGTCACGATCTGAGAAATCTGAAGTACGAGTCTAAGATGAGTTACATTAGATAAAATTAGAAATTTAAGATAGAAGAGCAATCAGTAAATAAAATTTTCTTTGTTTCGTAAAATTTATAATTTTTTTTATTATCACAATTGCATATTTAGATCTTTATTATTTATATAGTTATTAGATATTATGTAACTTTTAGTTACGTATTTTAAGAATTCGGATTTTATGAATTGCTACAATGCTATTTTTAAAATATGTTTAGACTGAAAGAAGACTCACGCGGAAAAGATTAAGACTCAAGCAACTCACACCAAACACTAATAGGAAAAGGAACATACCCTCGAATGTGGATAGAACGAGTTTAGTGAACCTTCGACAACAGAATAATATAATTATTGTACATACCATATAGCTGTCGTTGAATGATTACCTCATAGCTTTGCGATGAATATCCACAGCATAAATTATTTTCTTACAAATCATTATCTCTTCCACCGGACTAACATCTTCCACAATATTGATATTTATTGCTTGCTCCATACGATAACTACAAGTAATTTTGGCTATTATTATTTGAAACTCATTGGAAATGGGTGAAATTCTACCCACATTTGTACGATTGTATTCATGTATTCGCTCACTTCTTTACCTGGCGATTCTGAACATCCCGCAAACATGTTTGAGATATCCCGCGAGCATTGTCCCGGTTGCTATAGTTACGAGCGTCCCTACACAAAGAGTCGCGTTCGTGTGCAGCAGAATGAAATAGAAGTATTTTTTTTGATCGAGGAAATAGTCACTCATAATTAATATCACTCGTCGTGGTCGGGTGTCATTCACAAGCAAAAAAATATCAAGAATGCGCGGCCACATTGGCAGGAGATTAGTCATAACTAGGTAGAACACTGAAAGCACTAGGGATGTTCAAATAGACAGTTTTAAAAATTGTTACTTTCGAAACTTTCAATATATTATTCTAAAATAAAAAAAAAACATTAAAGCATCGAATGTTAAAGTTAAAAAGCTCCAACTATATCATTCTCCAAGCACTTCCCAGTCTGGTGTACTCTCGCAAAAGAACGAATTATTGAATATAAGTACAGAATACTCTTTGAATATTTTAATTCTATATAATTATACTTTCAATAAAATATTAAAAAGGATGTGTGTTTCTACAGATACGCAAACTTCTATATTTACATTTTTCGTTACTTATTTTTGTATTTACTTTTTATTAGATATTTTATATTACACTTTTATGTTTTGGTAAAAATAAGGCAGGCAGAATAGCAAAATGCTTGGCCGTTAATTTTTAAGCTTATTTTATTCATTAACAGAAACAAATAGAAATCAAAGAATGTTTCCTTACGTGTAATTATAATGGTAAAACGTTTTATGACGGTCGCATAATTTTCTAAGATAGCAATCTCTTTCTTATTCTTTAGCTCGCTACAGATTTGCTCAAGTTGATCCAATAAATATTTCACCTGCCAATGAAGACGAATTTACGTCATCCTTTAGTGTAATATTTTACGATTTATTGTGGCATATAAAAAATTGATTTGTCATTTAACTTATTAAAGTGCACACAAATGCTCGACTTACATTTTGGATTTTTAACAGGAACGTGTTGTATTTAATAAGATGAATGATGAAAATGAACGAAATGGATAAAATATTGATGACAAGGTCCGGAGTATATTTTGAAGTTATGAATGTTGCGAACTGCAAGTGACAAATTCATGAATGAAAGGGAATGAAAATATTTATCTACTTGGTTAAGAAACTGCGTGTCTGCAGAATAGTCAGTCGCGTTTTCACACGCAATAATTCAACGCAAAGTTTACAATTGTCGAAGACGGTAATAATCAAATATGCTATTATTATACACACACATTTATGTATTTAATATTATATAATTTCTTTTAAATTCAAAAAAATCGCTGCAATTAATAGTATCATTTTATGTACCTGTAATAAAATGAAGCTCGTAAGAATACCAGAAATCAAAATTATCTGAATTAGGGCGAGCTTCGTTCGATGATAAGGCCATAAGCCGATCGCTAGCAAAAGGATCCGGTTGACGTTAAAATGTTGGTATAAATCGAAACAGACCATCTCTCTGCCAGCACCACGATATTTTTGACGAGGAGCAAGTCGTCAAAGTTTTGTTCACGCCCACTTACTAGCAGCCCGATAAAATTTTCCAATTGTGCTATTTGTACAATTACATCCCTATTTTAACTGTACACTAACATAAATGGCTCAATTTTCTAGCAATCTAACTCAAAGCGACGCGAAATATAGCCGTGAGATAGAAACACTTGCCGAACCAAGAAAGCATTTCCGCCAGCGAAATCGTCGGTAGGTCGTGCGATCGATTCAAAATAGATGTCATTTTAACAAATGTTTATTTCCCGTCGCGAAAGAAAAATGTCAATAAAGCCACTTGTTGATCGAAAGCTGCGCATGTGCAATCGACACAGTGCAGCGGAGCGTTTTCCCTTTGCGCTTCACTTTCCAGTGCGCACACCTGTCAGTTATGTCGGCACTTTCGGCGAAGTATCAACCTTTCTATCTTAAAAATCGACATATTAACTGTCGATTATTATATTTGGTGAGGTCCTTACGTACATTGTATCGCAGATTTGCGTTCTTTCTTGTATTTTCTTAAAGTCACAAATTATATGTTACTATAATTTTACTAAGAAGAGTGTCGTATATGTTACATTTTTTTCTTTGTCATTTTCTTGGCACCTACAAATGTATTTGTACATTGGCTAACTTTAACTGATCTGATTGATACTGATTACGGCGAGTATCGTTTGTGTCTAGGATTCTTTCACTAAGGTTTATTCCATTGTATTAAATCTCGTGTCAGTGCCGCGTGGAGTAAAGAAAGGTGAAGTAAGATATCGAGGTACTCATTATCTACAACAATATGAGTTTCTCGTTTTGATTAGTTTTTCTAAACAAAACATATCGAGTCAAAATAATCTTACCGTGGCGGCGCCCTGTAACGATCCCACAATCAATCCTCCGATATTTATATTAAAGGCCTTGTTACCCCTTTGTAATAAAAATAATACCATCTTCTGTACGTTCAAGGATGCCACGTACCATTGAACGTTGTATCTGCAAGATGACAACGCAACAATACAATTGCGGGGAAAGGAATCGCAAATAATTATCATATATTCTCTCTACACGAATTCGTTTAATCGGGTTTGTCAATTTGGAATTTGTAACTATAATCATACAGTGAATTAAAATCAGACGATCATTTTTGTAATAAGTGTTACTCTAATGTTAGTGACAGTAATCTAATATGTATATATTGTTATTGCTCCTCTTTTGTTGGAACAATATGAAGATACGGTTGGTGAAGAAAATTACTATATTTTAGCGATATTAACTTTTTTGGTCTTTCAGTGCGAGTGAGATTGCGATATGTCACTTACACGGTTGCGAACACGTGGTTATTGTGATCTATGATCTCCTGTGCCATGTAACTGCCTATGGCCAAGTAAGAGAAATGAATTATGAACATAATGAGTACCGAGAGCTCCCCGACGTTGTTGTATTCGGCTGTTAGCGCTTGAAAAAGCTAAGGCACGAACATACAACAATTCATGCGAGAACTAATCATTGAAAGTCGCCAAGCGAAATCTCGATGGAAATCAATCTCGGCCGAGTTTGCAAATATCTTTATAAAAAAAAGGTACAAACAAAAAAACGGGAAATGTAATAATAAATTACACGATGTCTTACACGAAGGTAATTGAGACTTTCGCAGATCACACCAACTATTATTAAAAGGAAGAACATTACTTTGAATTTGGATATTGACATGTTGGAGAACCTTCGAACAGAAAGAAAGAGGACACATTATCACACGATACATTATAACGTATTACCGGGCAGAATACCAACTGCATGGCTTTACGGTGGATATCCACGGCGTAGATTAAATCTCCGTAAATGGATCTGTCGTTTCCCGCATTGTTTCTTTGTACAGTCTCGATTGTCATCGCGTGTTCAATACGATAGCTACGAATGATTTGTTTTTACTGTTATAATTACGTTAATTTCTATGAAACAAATATCGACTTTATTTACAATTACATGAAGCTTTTCTCCGCGTTTGTCGAGAGGACGTATTGCGCACAACGTATATACGGATTCCCATATATCTCCGTTTACCGATTTTCTTCCTCACCTGGCGATTCGAAACATTCCGCACGCATATTGAAGAAAGGTTACCAATAGCGTTCCCGTTGCCAGCATTGTAGCTGCACCAATTATAAAAGCTGCAATTGCGTGCAGCAAGATCAGATAGAAGTAGTCGTTTTGATTGATGAAATATTCGGTGACAAACTGCAACGAGGGCCGCAGTCGGGACTTGTTTAAAGGAGACAGTGTGTCAAGAATAAGCGGGCCAAATGAATACGAAAGTATGAAAGTCGCCAAGATTATTAAAAGCACTGAAAAACGAGGAATAAAAAGTTTCTAAAATCGATAAACTCGCTGTGCCAAAAATCTAATCGCACACTTGCTATATGGCCTCAAATGTAATATGTTAAGTTACGTTTCTTTATGAAAAATAAATCGAATTTCCTTACTAATAAGTCCAGTGGTGTAACGTTCCGCAAGCTGTCCGTACTTTTTCATAATAATGATCTCATTCTTGTCTTGTAGTTCATTGTAGATACGCTGAAGTAGTTCCAGCATAAACTTCACCTGTCAGTTTAAAAGTAATCAATTCCGTTTCGCTTTCATCGTAGCACAAAAGGGGTCGTGTCGTTTTTCAAACATTATTCTCAAACATTATGTTTCGTGTGTGCAAATACAATATACGGTGTACAGTCTACTTACAGTTTCTCTGTTAAGCCTAAATGAGATATATTTGATGACGAAGGTAGTGAAAAATAACGTGGAAGATAGAACGTTGATGACGAGTTCCGAAGTGCATTGTAAAGTCAGGAACGACGTTAACTGCGGGCAATAATTTTATTCTGACGATTACATCACAATCACCCTAATTTTATTTCCTATGCAATTAGAGAGATTAATCATGAATTGTCTTTGTATCTGAATAAGATGAAAATGATTGGAGAGGTAGTGCAAATGTTGATTTATTGCCCGATCGTAACGTACAAATAAAGGAAATTTTGGAAATTTCACTCGCCACTTTTCGTGAGCTTTAGATATATTGCAGTAAAGCGAAAAATAAGAGAAGTAAATTTTTTATCAACATTTTCTTTACCTAGGTGTTAACACACCCCCCAAAGTTAATTCCATACATATGTGTATTTGATTATGGGTGGATATTAAAGTTGCAAGAAATATAGAATAATCTTTTATATAAAAATTGTACGATATTTTTAAACCAATTAATATTTATGTATCTAAATTTTTTACAAAATATTTTATTTCTGAATATATAAGCTCTCCTCTTATATTTATTTTTCCGAATTAAACATCTCAGTAAGGACAAAATTAAAAAAAAATTTAGACAATCTCAAAAATTGTACACAAGAAAATTCATTTTTGGAATCGTACTTTTTTTTTAGATACGAGTTGTGTGAACGTCGTGTTTTAAATAGTTTTACATTTGCAATAGCAGAAAAAACATTATAAAAAGATCGTATCTATTATATATTTTTCATATTTGCTATATATTTAAGGCTTCTCAAACTTGATGGGCAACGCCTCCAGACCTTTCCTTGCAAAAATGTTAACGTACTTGAAATAAAATGAAGGTTGTCAAAATACCGAGAAACAAGATTAGTTGTAATTGCACCAGCTTGGATTGCTGGTAAGGCCATAAGCCAACAGCGAGCAATAGAGACCGACTGAGGCTAATGTGCAGCGATTCGATGCAGATCATCCTTCGGCGAGCGGCGAGACACATGTGACCGCGAAAAACCTCGTGAAGTGTCGCTCATCCCGCTTTTTCGATCGCTTCATTGAATATTCTATGGTTTCGCACCCTCCGGCAGAAATTCTAACATTAATTACACAATTTAACGGGAACGGCGCGGAAAAAAATGATAGGGAAAACACCACCGTGAGAAAGCGACACTCGCGGTTCAGCACGCTTCTCGTGAGAAGTGCTGTATGATTAAACGATCGATACGACACCGAAAGAAATTTGACAGATGTTTATTTCTCATACAATACAAATACACGCGGAGGGGCTGCTTTGTCGTTCGAACGCAGGCGTGAAAGTTATTCCCTTGGCGAGTGCGTCACCGTGCGTTTCGTTCTGTCGCATGCACGCTCGCAGATCACGCTGAATCTTTGTGTAGAAGCATCAGTCCACCTGTCTTGGAAAGGTGCAGTCATGGATAGGATGGTTACGACACTTTTTCTCAATGAGTTTCGCAACGCATCTTCGTATTCAGTAAGAAATATATCTTCTGAGAATTATAAAATAATTATAAAAAGCAAATTCTCTTATGAGGCATGGGATGCTTTGTGAAACTCATCGAATAAATGCGTCGTTATTTTTCTGTCCATGAGTATCCTGGCATATTATCGACACATCGACTCATCGACTCGTTGTTCAACAGAAACAACATAATCTTTTTTTATAAGAGCTATGTACCACGCTGTATCTGCGAAATAACGAAAAATTGGCGAGTATTTTTTGGAGACTTCTCATAATTTTAATGAGTGCAGGTATTTCGTTCGTTTCGTGTACAATACTCAACATTCATTGATAACATCGCAATACGAACACTCGTGCATGTGCCATACCGTGGCGATTCATTTATACGGTTGTAAATACGTCGTTGTTGTTATCCATAANGATACAAACACTCGTGCATGTGCCATACTGTGGCGATTCATTTATACGGTTGTAAATACGTCGTTGTTGTTATCCATAATATCCTGAGCGTAGAAGCTCGCGAACAATATATATACAGGAACAATAGATACGTATGTGAGGCAATAGTACCACATATTTGTTATCTTCGTAAGATATAATCTGGAAAATCTAAGATGTCGCGGTTACGCAATAATTCTTTTATACGTGTTTTGAAGATATCATTTTACTGGATGAGTTGTGTTATAAAAGAAGATAATGTTGGAAATAACATCTTTATCTAAGAATATTTAAATAATCTTAAAAATTGTTAGTTTCCGATACATTGTTCTGAAATATTTAGTATATAAACATTACATATTAAAGTTGGAATTTTTAACATTATCGTTTTCCATCCATTTTCCAATCTCGCATGTGTTCATAAATAATTAATTGTTAAATATGAAGCATTTTAGTATTTAAATTCTAAATTATACTTAAAAATTTCTGTAATACTTAAATTCTAAACTAATCTTTCAGGAAAAATATAAAGGACGTACACCTTTGCAGATGCATAGGCTTTTATAATATAGTGACTTATTTTTTATTTTCTAATTTTCATAAGTATTTTTATTAAATATTTTTTAATATACTTTAATGTTTCGATAACATTCGAGTAAATAAAGTGATAAACTGCTTAGCCTTTCATTTTTCACGAATTTATTGTTTATTGTTTATTTTACTTAATTATTAATATAAATTTTTTAATCTCGCTATTTGTACAATTCCAGTTCTACTTCAACTATACACCAACGTTAATAGCTTCAATTTTACATCAACCTAAAGCAAAGCAGCGGGAAATAACAATGAGATAGGAATACTCGCAACCAAGGAAGCGTTTCCACTAGCGAAGTGGTCGGTGGGTCGTTTCGAAATGGACATTTATTTCTCAAAAAAATGTCAGCGGGGCTACTTGTTGATCGAAGACTTGTACATTTACAGTCATCATCGAATAATGAAGCGTTTTTTACGTTTTTTATTTCGGTGCACACACTTGTTAGTCGGAATGTTCGACGAGGCATCAGACTTTCTACCTTAAAAGCTGACATACCGACTGTCTCCCGATTGCCTTCACGTACATTTCGCCGTAGATATCGAGGTTTTGCATTCTTCCTAACGTTTTTCTGACACCTTACCTTTCTTCAAAAATCTTATCCATGTTACGACTACGTAAAATAATGAAACGTGTGTAAAACTTCTACGAAACGAGGAAGTGTCATTCCGATTTTGTTTTAATGTATACAAACGTTATGTTTGTTTTCGACCGTTAAGCTCTTTATGCGTTAACGCTTTACTTATAAATTTTCCTTCAGTTAAAATCACAAATTATATGTTACTATAATTTAACTAATAAGATTGTCATGCTTGTTCCGTTTTCTTTTGTTATTTCCTTGGCATCAATACATGCTTGGTACAAATGCATTTCGTTCGTTGGCTAACTTTAAATGGTCTAATATGATGGATGTCATAAGATTACAGCGAGTATCTTTTGTGTATCTTTTGTGTCTAGAGTTCTTCTACTAAGGTTTATTCCATTGTATTAAATCTCGTGTCAGTGCCGCGTGGAGTAAAGAAAGGTGAAATAAGATATCGAGGTACTTATTATCTACAAAAATATGAGTTTCTAGTTTTGATTAGTTCTTCTAAACAAAACATATCGAGTCAATTTAATGTTACCGTGGCGGCGCCCTGTAACGATCCCACAATCAATCCTCCGATATTTATATTAAAGGCCTTGTTACCCCTCTGTAATAAAAATAGTATCATCTTTTGTACGTTTAAGGATGTCCCGTACCATTCAATGTTATATCTGCAAGATGACGACGTAAGAATGCAATGCGGGGAAGGAAAACATAAACAATTATTACATATTCGTTCTATGCTATTCGGGTCAATCAGGTTTGTTAATTTATATTTTTCGATGAAATTTCTTCATGTTTATCGAAGAGAAATTTATATAGGAGAAAATTCGAGAAGATGATTACCGACGATTCTCATTAAAATTTAGAATCGCGCATCGAAGAACGAGTGCCCTCGTGAGGAAGTCGCACTAAGAAATATGTATTTGGAATTTGTAACTCTAATCATACAATGGATTAAAGTCAGGAGATTATTTTTGTAATATGTGCAACTCTAATGTTAGTAAAGGTAATCTAATATGCAAATATTGTTATTGGTCCTTTTTTGTTGGAATAATAAGTAGATACAGTTGGTGAAGGAAATTACTATATTTCAACGAGATTAATTCTTTTGGTCCCTCTGTGCTAGTGAGATTGTGATATGTCACTTACATGGTTGCGAATACGTGGTTATTGTGATCTATGATCTCCTGTCCGATGTAACTGCTTATGGCCAAATAGAAGAAATGGACAATCACGAACGTAACGGACACCGAGAGTTCTCCGACGTAATTGTATTTGGCTGTCAGCGCTTGAAAAATCTAAGGCACGAGCATGTTACAATTCAGAGCTAATAATCATTAAAGGTCGCCAAGAGAATTTCAATCGAGATCAATTTCGGCCGAGTTTGCAGGTGTTTTTATTTAAAATATAGTGAAAATTGAAAACGGGAAATATGTCTTACTCGAAGGTAATTGAGACTTCCGCACATCACACCGACAATTATTAAAATGAAGCACATTACTTTGAATTTTGATATTGACATGTTGGAGAACCTTTGGACAAGAAAGAAGACACGTTATCGCGCGTCACGTCATAACATNTTGCTTACGGCCAAATAGAAGAAATGGACAATCACGAACGTAACGGACACCGAGAGTTCTCCGACGTAATTGTATTTGGCTGTCAGCGCTTGAAAAATCTAAGGCACGAGCATGTTACAATTCAGAGCTAATAATCATTAAAGGTCGCCAAGAGAATTTCAATCGAGATCAATTTCGGCCGAGTTTGCAGGTGTTTTTATTTAAAATATAGTGAAAATTGAAAACGGGAAATATGTCTTACTCGAAGGTAATTGAGACTTCCGCACATCACACCGACAATTATTAAAATGAAGCACATTACTTTGAATTTTGATATTGACATGTTGGAGAACCTTTGGACAAGAAAGAAGACACGTTATCGCGCGTCACGTCATAACATATTTCCGGTCGAAATACTAACCGCATGGCTTTGCGATGAATATCTACGGCATAAATTAAATCCTCGTAAATGGAACTCTCGTTTCCTGTATTTACGCTTCGTACGGTCCCAATTGTCATCGCATGTTCAATACGATAGCTGCGAATAATTTGTTTTTCTGGTGTTAGAATTACGTTAATTTCTATGAACCAGGTACCGACTTTATTTACAATTACGTAATGTCTTTTTCGGCGTTTGTGGAGATAACAAATTGTACACATCGCATATTCCGCTGTATCTTCGCTTACCGATTTTTTTGCTCACCTGGCGATTCGAAACATTCCGCACGCATATTGAAATAAGGTTATCAGTAGCGATCCCGTCGCCAGCATTGTGACTGTACCAATTATAAATGCTGCGATTGCATGCAGCAAGATCAGATAGAAATAGTCATCTTGATTGACGAAGTATTCAGTGACAAACTGCAACGAGGGCCGCAGTCGGGTTTTGTTTAAAGGACGCAGTGTGTCAAGAATAAGCGGCCCAAATGAATACAAAAGTATCAAAGTCGCCAAGATTATTAAACACACTGAAATACAAAAAATAAAAACTTTCCAAAATCGGTAAATTCGCTGCGCCAAAAATCTAATCGCACACTCGCCAAATGGCTTCAAATGTAGCTCGTTAAATTGCGTTTCTTTATGAACAATAAATCGTATTGCCTTACTAATAAGTCCAGCGATGTAACGTTCCGCGAGCTGCCCGTACTTTTTCATAATAATGATCTCATTCTTGTCTACTAGTTCATTGTATATGCGTTGAAGTACTTCTAGCAGAGACTTTACCTGTCAGTTTAAGAATAATCAATTTCGTTTCGCTTTCATCGTTACACAAAAGGGGTCGTGTCGCTTTTCAAGCATTATTTGCAAACATTATTCTTCGTGTGTGCAAATATGATATATTGTGTACAGTCTACTCACAGTTTCTCTGTTAAGCCTAAATGAGACATATTGAATGACGAATGTAATGAAAAATAACGTGGAAGAGAGAACGTTGATGACGAGTTCCGAAGTGCATTCTAATGTCAGGAACGACGTAAGCTGCAAGCAATAATTTTATTACGATATTTACATTGCAATGGCGCCAATTGCGCCAGGTCCTATGAAATTAGGGAAATTACGTACGAATCGTCTTTGCATCTGAATAAAATGAAAGCGATTCGTAATACAAGAGTTGATTTATTGAGGGGTCGTAATGTACCAACAAAGGAAGGCTTCGAAATCTCACATGTCACTTTTCGTGAACTTTGAATATATTGCAGAAAAACGAGAAATAGAAAAGAAAATCTTTTTGCAAACATTTTCTCTATTTAGGGGTTGAAACAATCTTCTGAAGTTAATTCCTCATATATATGTATTTTATTATGGTTTGATATAAAAATAGCAAAATATATAAGAAAATGTTTTATTTCAATGTGTTTTAATGCTTTTGATGCGGTTAATATTTATGTATCTATATTTTAACAATATGTTTTGTTTCTCAATATGAAAGTTCCCCTCTCATATTTATTTCTACTATCTAAACATCTCAATGATTACCAAATTTAAAAACATTCTACACCATGTCAAAAATTTTATCTAAGAAAATTAAATTTTGAAAAAAAATTTCTTTCAGATACGAGTTGTACGAACGTTTTAAATAGTTGAAAATTTGCAATAGTAGAAGAAACGTTTTTAAAAGATCGTATCTATTATATATTTCCCATATTTGCGATATTTTTAAGGCTTTCAAAATTCAATAGGGAACGCTTCCAGACCTTTCCTTGCAAAAATGTTAACGTACTTGAAATAAAATGAAGGTTGACAAAATACCGAGAAACAAGATTAGTTGTAATTGTACCAACTTGGATTGCTGGTAAGGCCATAAGCCAACAGCTCGCAATAGGGACCGATTGAGGCTGATATGCAGCGATTTGATGCAGATCATTCTGCGACGAGTGGCGAGACACATGTGACCGCGGAAAACCCTGTGAAGTCTCGCTCACCCCGCTTTTGCGTTCGCTTCATTGAATATTCTATGGTCTCGCACCCTCCAGCGGAAATTCTAACATTAATTACACAATTTAACGGGAACGGCGCGGAAAAAAATGATAGGGAAAACACCACCGTGAGAATGAGACACTCGCGGTTCAGCACGCTTCTCGTGAGAAGTGCTGTATGATTAAATGATCGATACGACGCCGAAAGAAATTTGACAGATGTTTATTTCTCATACAATACAAATACACACGGAGGGGCTGCTCTGTCGTTCGAACGACGCAGGCGTGAAAATTATTCCCTTGGCGAATGCGTCACCATGCGTTTCGTTCTGTCGCATGCACGCTCGCAGGTCACGCTGAATCTTCGCGTAGAAGCATCAGTCCACGTGCCTCGAAAACCGATGTGCAGTTCTGGACAGGATAGTTGCAACTTTTTTTCTCAATGAGTTTTGCAACGCATCTCGTGTCCAATAGGAAATGTATCTTTTGATAATTATTAGAAACAAATTCTCTTATGGGGCACGGGATGCGTTGCGAAACTCACCGTAAAAAAGTTTCGCAATTTTTCTGTCCGTTACTGTACATCAGTATACTATCGACACATCGATTCGTTGCCGGTGAGTTGTCCAGATTAAAATGGTCATTTATATTACTTATATTTATCTGCAATAACACTTGAAGAGTAAAATTGATTTAAGCTGAAAACAACTATTTCATCATGTTATGAATCTTGCTATGTAGAATACAAAACCGTGAAATAATACATCGATATAGTTTGGAACTCAGTATAGTCGAATTCAGTAGTACTTTCAGTAGTATTTATGTCTCTATTGTTTTTATTAATATTTGTCCTAATATCAGTTTATAAGGGATTATTGATGCACACTTTTTTTACACGAAAGGGAACAATTATGACAAGATCATTTTTGCATTTTTATGTAACAGTACCTTTCGTAATTTATTGCTTTTACAGCAGAAATACTTTAAAAAGTCAAATTACTAAGCAATTTACATCGAAAATAATTCACACTGAAAATCATGTATCTAGGATTACTTTTGGATTCAATTGAAGAAAATCGACTTAACTTCCAACGTCGAAATAATTCCACTGTATACTACATATTTTGGCGTGTTGAATAAAGAACAGTGAAGTAAGACATCGAAGTGCTTATTAGCTGCAATGGAATGTATTAGCATTTAAAATGTATCGTATTCGACTAAATTATAATACACTATATGTCTTTTACCCTGGCAGCGCTTTCTAAAGATCCTGTGAATATTCCACCGAGAGTCACGCAAAGAGGTTTAGTGCCTTTTTGCAACATGAACAGTATCATCTTTTGTATACGTAAAGAAGCATTGTACCATTTAACGTTATACCTAAGGGACGATGAAAAACTAACCGATTAATCGCATAAAAAAGTGGAGATTCTTGAAAGGAACACCCAACAAAACAATATTCGTTTTATGCAAAATACGTTTTTTTATTTCTTCTTAGTTCTAATTTTATTTGTTATATTTTATCTTATATCTGTTAAAATTAAATATTATCTCTTACACAGCAGCAAACATGTCGTCATTATGATCCGTAATTTGTTGCGCGTTATTGTTAGCAAGTATTATGAAGATGTTAGTGGTATTTAAACAAATAAAAGGTATTATCAGTTTTTCCAGATCGAATCCAAATGTTATTACCTGGAAAATCTGAGACATGAGTTTCACGCTGGAGCTCAATTTTTACATACGCTTAATTTAACTTAATTCGTTATAATTGCTAATGGAAATTAAGCTGTCCTAATGTAAACCAAATTTATAAAATGATATATATTGTTTGTGATTATTAAAGCATGGACGAATACTTATGGTGAGGACAAAACTTACTCGAAAAAGATTAAGACTCGTAGAAATTACTCCGCTCACTATTAAGAGGCAAAAGAATATTTGCAATTTGGAAATAAAATGTCGTATGAACCTAAACAGATAAGTTATCCCCATGAAAATACCGCTACCGTTAAGAAGTATATATCATATACATGGAAATATCACAGGGAGAAGTTTCCCGTGTTACATTTTCATTTAGATAGTTACTCGGCAACCAACTTTCCTCCTGACCCCTTTATTTTCAATCTTCAATACATGTGGATAATTGAGTTTTACGTTAAAAACTTGTTAAAATAGAAACGATTTGAAACTCATAGAAGATATATCATATTATAAGCACAGATTTATTGGGAAAAACTGTCTATATAGTGAATCTCATGATAAACCGTATGCATTTATTGTATATGTCCGATCGTTACTAACCTTATAGCTTTTCGATGCATATCTATGGCATAAATAATCCCTTCATGAATCAGATTCTGATTTCTCACGCTACAGATCATCATGGCCTGCTCCACGCGATAACTGCAAAATATTAATATACTGTACTTCTTACGGTAATCTAAAAGCGCATACAACACACAAGCCAGAGGAAAATATGAGCCACTAAAAAATATGAACGAAATATGAATGTCTGCGAACGGCGAGGCATTCGTAACCCCGTTGAATTAACTTGAGACAATCAATCAGGAGATTGCTAACAATCGAAGATTGTTTTTACACTTCGTATTCTATATTATTTTTTGTTGGATATCACGTAAAGTAAAAGAAACTATTCTTTCTTTATCTGATCAAGTACAATATAATATCCAATTATACATTTATATGATGTTATACATTTTTATAATGATTGTTTAACAGACACACATGCTAACTGAATTTCTGTTAATCGGAATCGTTTAATCGGAAATTGCGTTAATCGGATAAAAGTACTTAACGTTTAATTGGAAGCCTCAAAGTCGTTCGGATACATTACTTGATCGGTTGTTTTTGATCAAAACCGCTGATCTTTTCTTTCAGTGTGAATATTTCTTCACCGTCTGTATCTTTTCACTTATTATCATGTCGATTTTCTCACCTGGCGACTTTGAACATTCCACAGATGTGTAGAAAATACGACATGCCGGTTGTTCCGGCCGCTAATAATGCAGTTGAGCCCACGTAATATGCTACGTTGGAGTGCAGCATAATCAAATAGTAGTACCTCTCTTGATCGATAAAGTACTCAGTCGGAATATATATCCGCGTATGAGGTCGAGATTCGTTCGCGGGCCATGCGATGTCGAACATGCACGGCCAGAATGGGAATAACGTAAAAACGGACATGCCACACGTGGACAAAACTAAGAAATGATTCAAAGCAACTGTCACATAAATCGTAGATTTTTAATATTCCAAAGTACAAAATCGTCAAATACTTCAAGCTCTTCCTTCTTCATTCTCCTGTCTCTGCTCTTTACATTAAATTTCCACGAACGCGTCACATACGGCGGCTTACTTCAAATTTCATGCTCATATATTTTCTAATGTCTAATCAGAGACGAGACGAAAAATACAGTTTGAAAGGAACTGGCTGATATGATATCTCCGCTGATATCTCGTCTTAACAATGCATAAATATGTGGAAACTTTCAAGTATGTAATATATTTTAAGTATATAATTCATTTTTCGATAGATTTTTCGATAGATGATTATATAATATTCAACGGCGTGCTGACATGTAATGTTCAACTTGAAATAAACAATTAAATATTTCGCCATCCGCAAGAAACTAAAAGAGATTGTCTTACTCGTGAGTATGCCAGTGTGATATCTAGCCATATTCCCGTATTCATTCATAATGGCAATTTCTTCTTCGTCATTCAGCTCGTCGTAAATATGTTGAAGTAGTTCCAGTAAATGTTTTATCTACCATTGCAATAATTTTCTGTGACATTTGCTTTCTTCGGAATTAAATGAATAATTTTTAGACAGTGTATAATTTTCGGAACGCGAAATGCTTTTTATTGAAAATTACGAGCATGCAAAGTAATCGATTGACAACACGAACGATCCCCTTAAAAATATTTCGCCGTTTTTAACCCGCGAAAATTGTTCATTTCAGTAGTGAAATCCTGCATTTAGTTGAATATATATAACCCCGTTTTTAAGTAGGAAAGAAGTATTTTTCCTTAATAACGAGGAATTATAGCGAATTACATATGAATATATCCAAATGGTAATGGTAAACTATCTACTATCTATTATTGAGTAAAGTACTGTATAAATTTGAGGTGTGTAAACGTACATTTAAACATTTAACTACGAATAAATGCATAGCTCTTTGTCGTACTTCTTTTCATATCGAAATGAAGCCGAATAAAAGAGAAACATATGAACATGCTATCACTCATCAGCTGAAAAATGAATTTCGAAGACGGAAATCTTCTCAAAAATATTCATTCATCATACTCCCGTATACTCGTCATATTTCTTCGTCTAATAGACTGTGTGTGCCTGAGAGTGTAAGAAACGAGCATAAAAATGATACAGTTCAAAAACGCGCTAAAAAGGCGCTATACGAGGAGTAAAAACGGCGAAATATTTTTGTAACGGTTGACAATGTGCCAATTGTCTACTTACGGTTTTTAGGTGAATCCAGTACGCAGTGTATTCAATTGCATAAGCGATGAAGAGAAACGTAACAGAGAGAACCTCGATGACAAACTGCGGAGTGCACTTCGAAGTCGCGAATGTTGCAAACTGTAAGAAATAACAAATTCCTTATAATATCTCGTCGTAATGGTAACTTTTACGTTTTATCAGCAGAAGTAAAACCTTTAAATTATTAGTTGTTTAACTTGCTTCCGTAAAGGACGATATGTTTTGTAAAAAAATTGTTATGAGATAAAATTAAAAATCTCAACGTACCTGAACTAGAATAAAAGTTATTAAGGTGCCACTGAACAAGATTCGTTGCAGTCGAGTGAGTTTGGACTGTTCGTAAGGCCATAAGCCAACCATAAGTAAAAGAATCCGATGGATACTGAAATATTGGGTGTTTACACAGATCATCTCTGCACAAATATTGACACGCGTTTGACCACAAAACTATGAGTGAAGGTTTTCACGTCCCCTCTCTTTTCGTTTAATCGTCTACAAGTTTTCTTTTCTAGTGTATATTTTGAAGTAAATTTCCTAATTCAATATATGCATAATACAGAATGACAAATTATATAGCCGAGAGATCGGACACTTGCGCAATTTAAGAGTTTCTCATGGTAATAAGTCCGTTGTTAAACGATCGATTTCACACCGACGGTAATTTGACAAGTGCGCTTTTCCCACGAAAAAATATTCTCGAGAGATTTTTTTCGTGCGAAAATCGCGCAGTCGCTGTTACCATCTTTCGGTGTTACAATTCCACGTACCTTTATCGAGCGAACATATTCCGGAGCTACGTTTGAATAAACAACGTTGAATGTTATGGTTCAGAATATCGTGGGCTAAGTACGTAACATCACATTTTATTAAAAATAACTTTGCTTCGACGGCCATAAAAATTCAACTATGTAAAATAAAAGGATTTAAGTATATTATAAATGACGAGAAAATTTTGCTTTGCAAACAGTGTATGTATTGCAGTATACGTTACATTACAAAAAATAAGCATTAGTGAAGCCAATGTTTATCGCTAATATCACTTATAGATTTATATATTTTATTAAAAGAAATTTTTAATTTAAACACCAAAGCTAAGTTGATATATAAGTTGAATAATTCATTTGTATTATGTATAATGTTGCTGACTTCCCATTCTATCTTCATGAATTACAATATTAGTTGTTTCCAGGAAACACATTTCATGAGTTTCTTACTTTTCCACACAAATGACAAACCTAGATTAAACAGTTTAGAACCAAACGAATTAATTAATTTAAATCTGCTTTAGTCATTCCACTGAATTATTTTCTTTAATCTCGTCGTATAGAATAAATAACAGTGAAATAGGACATCGAAGCGTTCATAATCTGTAAAGAAATGTTCAATCTGTTTGCTATTCCAAAATTCCTTGTATGGAAGAAAACTGCAAGAATACAAAAAAATTAAAAACTATCGTTCTTCAATGGTATATCAGTAATTTTTTCGTATTCTTGTAATTTTCCCGGTATGGGCACTGCATCGATGAAACATTAGTACGTCTTTTACCTTAGCAGCGCTTTCTAAGGACCCTACGATTACTCCTCCGAGATTCATATTGAAAGGTTTAGTGCCTCTTTGCAACATGAATAACATCATTTTTTGTATACTTAAAGGAGCCTTGTACCATTTGGCGTTATATCTATTTAACGATAAACAAATATACAGTCAACCAAAACGGAAAGTAAAGATTTGTAAAAGAAAAATGTATAACACTACCATGTTCGCGTCTTACGAATTATTGTGATCTCTTCTTGTTTTAATTTTATCTTATATATTTTATTTCATTATCTGTAAAACTGTATCTTACACGGTAAAAAATACGTGATCATTGTGATCCACAATTTGTTGTGCGTAATAGTTGGCGAGGATTATGTACAAATAAAATATATTTATAGAAACACAGGGCAATATCAGCTTATCGAAGTCCATTCCAGACGAAATCACCTGGACAATCTGAGATACGAGTTACAAATTAGTTAAATATTACGTGCATTTCGATTAAAAATCTATATTTTATGAATTGTACCGTGTTTCATAAGATTATAACTATTTAAAATCGTGAGTAATTACGATTCAAGTTGTCTTAACATAAAACAATGCTAAATATTCTGTTATAGCATTCCGTTGTGTGTATAAGAATACGGAAGATAAAACTTACTCGAAAAAGAGTGATGCTGGAAGCAACAATTCCAATCACTATTAACAGCAAAAAGCATACTACCATGTTAGAAATAAAAAATTCTATGAACCTAAAATGAGAAATAATGCTTGGAAAAAGTATGACTGCTATTAAGCAGGATGTATTGTAATATATTACTTCCTTTTATAGTTTTTTCATCTTTTTAAGTATTTTGCAAATATTTTAATAACTAAATCTGACATTAAAAATTAAAATGAATATATAATATAATATATATCGTTTCTTAAACAACTTATATATATATATAAGTTGTTTAAGAAACAATAGTCAATAAAGTAAAAATGAAAAATATAAACTAAAATAAGCAAACACTTCTCAGTGAACACGGTTTCGTAAATGAATCGTTTTCGTTTGTATATAAATATATAACGTTCTACGTCAAATTTATTCAGAATATTTAGTAATTTAAAAATCACATTGATACTCTAGTATTTTGTAAATAACACTAAGTGTAAAGCCTCGGCGGCCGAATTGGTTAAGGTATCCCGCCCGGCAAGTGGGGAGATCCAGGTTCGATTCCTGGCTGAGGCAATATTGTTCGCAATATTCAAGAAAATCAATTAACCTTTAATTAATTAATAGTTTGTGGGAATTTGAGGATTATTAATATTAATAATTGGGATACACGATCGATTTGACGTGGAAAGTAAATTTTCCGTGTACGTTTGAAAAATCCGGCAAATAAGTTGGCACGTGAGTTTATATTGACAAACATATTTATCCTTCATATAAATTTAACATAAATGTATTCACACCAGCAATCGCGCTTAGCTCTTACTGGCTTTTCTATGCTTTTTCATGATCGTGTATCTCGACAACCTGATACAATTTAATTTACTAAGTGTAAATCTATTGAAGAAATTATTTCTGAAGTGACATTATATAATACAGTAAACCATCATTGATACGAACCACATAGCTTTGCGATGTATATCCACAGCGCAAAAAATCCCATTTTCAATCAAATTCTGATTTCGTGTGTTGTTTATTTTATTTATTTTTAGAGTATACATCATCATGGTCTGTTCCACGCGATAACTGTAAATAATTATTATGATTATTTATATCTTATTATCAAGAATAACTTAGCTGCATTGCCATGTGTTAATTTACGAGAAAATTTTAGAAATAAAATGAACATAATCGCAGTCTCATTAAATTAGTTTGAGATAATAAAATATATTGTTTATCGCTCAAATTTTTATGTTCACTGTTAATAAATAGCGATGTCAATTGTTTCACCTGGCGATCCTGAAGAATCCGCAAACTAGCTTGATACATGCAACATTCATCGTTGATATCGCTAACAACACAACTTTCCCTATGCAAAATGCTGCATTTGTATGTAACAGAATGAGAAGGAAATGCTTTTCCGAATCAATGAAGTATTCTGTCACGATTTGCGGCGAATGTGGCCGAGATTCGTTTGCAGGTGACATATTAGCGAGAATGCTCAAGCAATGTGGGAGAAATGCAAAAATAGTTAAACCGCAAACGGCTATTACTAAAGGATAATTTAAAAAAAGCTGTCATATACAGGTAGCTTATTACATAAATCTAATTTGGATCAATCATCAAAAAATCTATTGTGATTTTTTATTTAATTATATTGAATAGAAACATATTTATAGCTAAGTCGTTATTTATGGTTCTATGCTGATATCCTGGTAATATTTTTGTATTTTTATCACATAAAGTGGCCAGCTTACCATCGAGGAAGACAGAAAATCGAGCAGAATTTTTTGACTGATCCAATAATAATAATTATCGAGTAATAAAAATTAAAATAGGTGGATAGTTTTACTTATAAGTGTGAGAGTATATATTTTCCCGGCGTTCCCGTATTCGTCCATAATAGCTAATTCGCTCTCGTCTTTTAGCTCATCACAGGTATATTGAAGTACTTCCAGCAAATGTTTTATCTATCGTTCGTTTTTGCAACGTTCAACAAAAAATCGAGTTCTAGTGCAGACTACCCGTACAGGAAAAGAAAGACCGTAAGAATATGACAAAATCACGACAAAAATTTTGTCTTATTCTTGTAGTTTTTTCCCGTACGAGTAGTATATGTGCTTGTATATTTATACAAGCGATTGTGAATGTTTGTTAATTGGTTACTCACGGAATTCATATTCAAACTGTATGAATTGTATTTTATCACGTAGATTAAAAAGACACATATGCTGCAGAGAACTTCGATAATAAACTCCAGAGTGCATTCCGAAGTCACAAATGATGTACACTGTGAGAAATGAAAAAGATGTTGAAATTTAAGTCATAACTTAAATCATTTTCTGCTTCTGTATGTATAATGATTGGACGGAAGATACATAAGTGCAACTGTAATAATTATACGATAATACCAATTATTTCAGTGAAGATCAACTAAGACTAACATAATATCAATGTTATAATTTTCCACTCAGCAATATAAATACAATATAACACATATATTATGTAACGTTGAGAAATTATAACATTGGTGTTATATTACTTTTATTAAATGGGTGTTCACATCTCGATATATTAATTAGGCTTAAATTTGTGCGTGATTGCAGTAATAACAAACGTTGTATTTTCAAACTCTTTGTAGTCAAATGCTTTACTTAGCGATCAAAAGTATTGCGTGATCCGTAAAATACCTGAAATAGAATAAAACTTATTATGATGCAATAGAACAAAGTCAGCTGCAGCCGAGTTAAGTTGGTTCGTTCGAAAGGCCACAAGCCAACCATGAGCAGAAGTATCCGGTTAAGAGTGAAATATCGAGTGTTCACGCATATCATTTTTCTAACAGTATCTGTACACGTCTGGCTATGACGAAATGAACGAAGATTCGTCTTTGTTCTCTTCTCGCCTGATCGTTACTGAAGTTCTCTCTTCTAGCGTGTGTTTTTAAATAAATGTTCTAATTTACTGTGCATGTATAATACAGAACGACAAATAACGGTAACACGATCGCGAGACGGGGCTCTCGCAATTTAAGAATTCCTCTTGAGAACAATACCATCATTAAACGGTCAATTTTACGCCAACCGCAATTTCACAAGTGTGCTTTTCTCACGGGAAAAATATTATTGAGAGCTTTATCGAAGTGGTGCTTACGCAGTCGCAGTTACCACTTGTCGGAGACACAAACCCACATAGTCTTGTCGAGTACGGAGTTCCAGAGCTTACGTTTGTGCAAGCAGCGTTAAAAATCGTTCTTCAGATTATCGTCGATTAAGCACATAACATAGCGCATCATAGAGCGTATGCGTATCGTATCAAAAAATAAATAAATAAATTCTATCAGGAATCAAACATATCTTCATTTGTCAATGTTATATATTGTTTAATTTCGTAGCATAATTATGCTGCAATTTCATGTACTTGTATAGCATACGTTTCATAAACTTTATTTCAGATTTAAATTATATATTTATATATAGGATCGTACAGGATTTTTAATTATTTTTACATTATCGATTGGTGGCGTACACAACGGTGAAATAAGATATCGACGCGCTCGTTAACTGCAACATATACGATGATTCTTTATGAATTTATGAAGTACGTTAAAGTAAATATATTTTAATACATATTAAAATTCATACCGTAGTGAATCCTTCCATAGATCCCACAAACAGTCCTACGAGATTTATGTAGAACATTTTAGTGCCTCTTTGCAACAAGAATAATATTATTCTTTGTATTTGTAATGGAGCAGTGTACCACTGAATGTTGTATCTGCAAAATAGTAACGAAATATCTAATTTCACAATAAAATTTAATAAATAATTCTTAAAACATATACTTTTCGTATGTGCGAAACATTTTCCAATTATTTATTTCAATTAATTTTACATCGTGTGTGTGTGTGTGTGTGTGCTTCTCATTTAACGAAATTTTTCTGCTTCTATCATACACACATATATAAATGTCTCTTACACGGTGGCAAATACGTGCTCATTATGATCAGTGATCTGTTGCGCGTTCAGATTAGACACAAATACGTATACATAGTGAGAAAGTAGAAATAAAGTGGATGTTATCGATCTTTCGATGTCGCATCCAGTTGAAAATCCGTGATAAATCTGAAACATGGTTGAATGCCTGAAATTACTCACGTTTTGTCATGATTCTACTCACTTAATGCTAAGCCGATTTCATTGGTCGTACACAATTATACACTGACTGTATATAACTTTTCATACTTACACGATAAAGATTGAGGCTTAGTGAAATCACTATGGATAACATTAACAGAAAGAAGTACATCTCGAATTTGGCGAAAAAGAGCTTTAGAAACCTTTGGAAACAATAAAGAAAATAATTTCTATCGAATAATCGTGTATCGCATATCTTACACAGCTAAAATATATCTTATTTGCTGCACAAGCATCGTAAGATGCTAACTTCAAAGCCCTGCGATGCATATCTATAGCGTAAATTATCTTCTTGTGCACCAAGCTCTTATATTTCGTGTCACTCATTTTTAAGGTACCGACCATGGCCTGCTCCATACGATAACTGTAAAAAAAACTGATATGCTGTAATCATATAACAATCTAGCCGCTTACGATGTTAAAATGCGATTGCATCCTGAAGTGGAAAAAATCGCAGTTTTGTCAAACCAGCTTGGGATGAAGAAACCCATCTCACTTGTGTGAGTTCAAACTTCGGTATCCGCTGCCGCGTTCTCACCTGGCGACCCTAAACATTCCGCAAACGTATTGCACATACGCTATGATAATCGCTCCTGTCGCCAATAACGTAGTTTCTCCTATGCAAAAAATCACGCTTGTGTGCAGCGCGAACAAGTAAAAATACGTCTCTTGATCGGAAAAGTACTCCATCGTAATTTGCAACGGAGGATACGGACGAGATTCATTCGCGGGCCATACGACGTCAAGAAATCGTGGCCAGAATGGAAGAAACGTAAAAACAGATATGCTGAGTGAGACGAGCACTAAAAGTTCGAGGAAATTGTCGTATAAATGTGACTTGCAACATATGCTGTCTTAAAGGAAAATTTTAAATAACCAAAGCACAAGAGCGGTGAAACGTCTTACGCGTGAGCACGCAGGTGTAACGTTTCGCCGTAGTTCCATATTTTTCTATGATAGCAATCTCACTGTCGTCCGTCAGCTCGTCGTAGGTACTCTGAAGTATTTCCATTGTAAGCTTTATCTATATTGTTTCGACAATTCTCTATGTTACATATTTTTGTTGAGTTCGACAAAATTGGTCGTTTAGCGGAACTGTGCACAAAACGCTGAAGCATGAGTGAAAAACCTAATACTTACAGTGTCCAAATTAAGATAGAACGCGATGTATTTTAACGGGAAGCAGATAAGGAAAAATGCAACTGACAAGACTTCGATGATAAGTTGCGGAGTACATTTCGATGTCGCGAATGTTGCAAGCTGCGCAAAACGATTTTGTTGGGGCTTTGGTGTGGCGAAATTTACTTTAGTATCTTATAAATAAGTGAAAAATCTTTTTAATAATTTTATTGTTCGATATATTTGGACCTTTTTTTGCATCACGAGTGTGAATAATCATTTCTAATATATTTCTGCCTATTAAACACTTGTCCAAATTTAGCTATCACGTCAGAAATTAAAAAAAAAAGACGTCTCTTTGGAGCCAAAGAGGCTAAAAACGATGATTTTTATTTTGATTTCATGTTACATCTCGACAAAATGAAAAATCATACTGAAATGAAACAAAATGCATTTTAAAGCTAAAAATTGATTCTTTCAGGGGACATTCACAAAATTGAAAAAAAATATTTGCCGGCAGTGCTGCAACATCATGAAAAACGCAAAATTGACATTTTTGGCTTCTTAGATTTCATTTTTCTGAAAATTGTGACGTGATGCAACCAAATTGGGATAACGGATTCGTATTTAGCAAACAAAAATATATCGGAAATGACTATTCATATTCGTATTGCAAAATAGTGTTGAATAATGTTATCAGACGCTTATCTATACGTAACTGAACAAAATGTGCACAAATATGATTATTTATATAATATAATTATGTTTAAATGTATTCGTGTTAATGATTGTATATTAATATGCAAATGCACAATAAAGTGTAATAGTTTATAATTACACAACATTAGTTGTCAGGTATTACATGCTAAATATTAAACGTCATAAGCAACATACCGGGAACACAATGGAGGTTATGAAGATACTGTAAATGAAGATCAGTCGCACTCGGTCGAATTTAGATCGCTCAAAGGGCCATAAGCCAATCGTTATTAAGAGAATCCGATTGAGATTGAGTTGTAGCGACTTCACGCAGATCATCTCTGCGCGAGTGCCGAATCGGGTTTAACCGCGAAAAAAAAAGTGAAGCTCCGTTTGTCCCCTCTTTTTCGTCGATCAAACATTTCGTGACTTTTCTCTCTAGCGAAATTTTCCGTCGTAAAATTAACGCGGGACGACGCGTACGACCGTAAAATGTGCAATTTAATAATTTGCCCGTTCCAAAGGAAGTCCGCGATTAAGCGATCGATTTTAGCGCCGGCTAGTAATTTGACATGTGCATTTTTCTCACGGAGGAACACGCTCGAGAGACTTTTCCACGTTAAAAACGCGCAGTCGCGGACATTACTTGTCGGAGTCACACTTCCATATGGTTTCAGCGAGTGTATATATACTTCGGAGCTTCGTACGCTTAAGTAGGATGTTAAGTGTCAGCATTCAGATTATTGTTTAAGGTCAGTTAAATCGCTTCTTATGAGAAATAATTTTGCTTTGAGGATGGTGGCACGTACGAGTAAGTACATGCGGTACGTATCGCAATTATCTGCATATATCGCATTAGAAAATAAATTCACAAGAAGTATCAAGTACTTAATGAACTTTTGATTTTGCGTGTTATTTAATTATGCAATAACTACATTAGACTACTTTGAGAATTTTCCGTAAAAACGAGTATGCTATTAAATAATTGTCTTCACGCCGATGGCAATTTGGCAAATGCGCTTTTCTCACGAAGAAACATTTTTGTAAGGCTTCCTTTAACTTCTTTTTGCGGGAAACTTATGTAGTCGCAGTCACCATTTTTTAGCGTCATAGGTACTCGTTTCTTTAGTCCAGCGTGTTTCGAAGTTACGTATGCATAAGCGAGTACAAATGGCTGTCTTCGGATCATCATCGATCATGTAATATTACTTTCTGCTCAAAATAATATTCGTCGAACATACTTGCGAAGCATAGTGTCTTTTAGACATTCATACGTTTTGATTCCTATGCAAAAAAATAACCATAGCTGTAATATTTAATAAAAATGCCGCGTAGGAACATGCGTAGGTTTCATGGAGCCTCGATCACTTTACCGCGTGTAGTCAAACGTCAGGTATGACCTATGAGGGGAAATGTCTCTCGCTTGGCAGATATATAACTAATTCTCCATAATTTCCTGCAATTGCAACAGTATGTAAATAAAAACCAGTTTCATAGGAAATTTCCATTTTTAAAAATAACGTCGTGAATTGTCAACATTTTATTTTTTCAGACCCAGGCATTTGTTATAAAAGGAAATTTTTAATTTGCACATAAGTGATAACTCTCGAAAATCTCCAAGCGATTGATCCAACTAGAACTCGTCGTGTTAGTTACTTCGAGAGATCGTCTCGATTATATTTTATTATATATTATTTTCCACCGTAGGTTTACAATTTTTACCGTATGGAACAAAGAAATGTGAAAAAATTGAAGCGCATTAAAAGAGTAACGAATTATGCCATTTACGAAGAGTCTTACATGTTTATAATACGTATCTTGCACTAGGAGAAATACATAAGCAATCAAAAATTGAGATTTGGACATATTGGATTATTGCAACGATGGTTATAATTTAACTGTGTGATAATTATATTGGAATCATAATTTCAACTTAATTTATATCTTGCACTAATGTTATTATATATGGTACAGCATCAGTTCAACAACTCGTACATCATTGTCCCATGGAATAAATAACGGTAAAGTAAGATATCGATGTGCTCGTCAACTATATAGTGAAAAGTGAAAAGTTCTTTTTAATATATAAAATATACAAGGTGACTAAATGCTACATACTACATTTTTACCCTTGTGAAACGTTCCAAAGATACCATGACTAATCCAAACAAATTCATACTGAAAGGATAAGTGCCCTTTTGAAGAATGAATAATATAGTCCTCTGCACATGTAAGGGAGTAATATACCAAGGGAAGTTATACCTACAAAAGAATAAGTGTGTCCGATCGACGATTTTGAGAAACTTAAAACTTAATTTTCATCATATCGATACACACACAAACACATATATACATACACAAACGTTAAAATGTTTCTTACGCAGTAATATATATGAGATTGCTGTGATCTTTAACTTGTTGCGAAATATAGGTGGCAAGAAACATTAGTACGTAGTTGGCAATCAGAAACAATAAAGGTGATATACATTTTTCCAAATTCACACCTGTTAATAGTTCCTCAGTAATCTGAAATATACGTATATGACGGCACGATTAATTTTTATACAATGTAATCAAGATCTGATGCGCCTATGAATGTAGACATATAAATTGTTTCGTGTCTTGCAAAATCCGTATTCTTTCATATATTCTGCATCGAACATAGCATTAAATCTCAAATTAATGTCCCTAATAAATCCAGTCTACGTAGCAGACTCATAGAAGTATTTTAGATATCATTCGTACTCCAATGAACAAGATCGTCATCCTATAGAAATACCGTAAAATTCAACGTGCTTTAATAGCGAAACGCAATACGTACCCGATAAAGATTAAGGCTCATGGTAATTACTATGCCTGTCATTAGGATGAAATACGATACCTCGATTGTGGATGAGAAGCACTTTATAAACCTTTAAAAATGACAAGGTATTATTAGTATATTACGGATTATATCCACACGTGGAATTCATTTCGATCATGAATACCAACGTCGAAGCTTTGCGATGCATATCTATAGCGCAAATAATCCTTCTATATACTAAATTATCATTGCTTATATTCAATATTTTTAGAGAGTTATTTGTCATAGCTTGCTCCACACGATAACTGCAAACAACTAACATTGCTATAATTATTCCACAATTTAACTTCGTTGTGAGGACTTCGTTGTGAGTCAACACTCAAAGAAATCCTGAAGTAGAAATCGCAATGTATCGTCGAAACCGTTCGAGACTGTTCAATACTGATTTTTTTCACCTTCCCAATTTCGACTAATAGTGTCCTCACCTGGCAATTTGAAACATCCCGCAGGCATATAGCCAATATGTGATAGTCATCGTTCCTACCGCCAGCAACGCGACCCAGCCGATGCAAAATGCCGTGTTTATATGTAGTAGAATTAAGTAGAAATATTCCTCTCGATTTACAAAGTACTCCGTAATGATCTGTAGCGAGGCGAGCGGTCGAGATTCATTCATGGACAACGTGGTATTGAAAATATGTGGCCAAAATGGAAGGAACACAAAGAGACATAATCCAATCATACCGATTACTGAAGGATGGTTTAAAAAAATTTTTATAAGCCTCTTAGATGCACTGATACCCTCAATATGCAAATGAAGAGTAATTGTCTTACATGTGAGCATGTAGGTATAACATTTCGCGATAGTTCCGTATTTTTTGATGATCATAATTTCACTGTTGTCTTTCAGCTCGTTGTACATGTTTTGCAGAACTTACAGTAGATTTTTTATCTGTCATTTCAATGATTTTCTATGCCGTTTGTCTTGGCGAAATTTAACAAAATCTATCGTGTAACGAAAGGTGCTTTACACCACAAATGAGTAAAAGTCTATATCTACGTGTACTCACATTGTCTATGTTAAAACTGAATGAGTTATATTTGATCAGGAGGGTAATGAAGAAAAATGCGGCGGACAGAATTTGGATAACGAAATGTGCATTACATTTCGCAGTTATGAACGCTGTGAACTGCGAGGAAAAAAAAATTTCTGTAGATTTTTTTGCCGCGAGTGTACGTAATAAAAACAATTTATATTTGTCTTAAAAACAATCCTTGTTAACATTTTAACACACTCACGTGTTAATTTAACATGTTGTATTTATGTTATCTCAATATTCTGTGTTATATTGATATTCAACATATGTAAGTATTAAAATAAAACATATTATACTTTAATTAACATATTACGAGTGTTAATTTTTTATTAATTCTTGACGTAATATATGTGTTTCTTTTCAATATATTAACCTTGTGTTAAATTAACACAGAAATATATATGAACCGTTTGGAACATGTGAATTGTATTAAATTTAGCACAAAATTATTTACTATTGTAACATTTTTTAAATGGCTAAGCTCTGGAATCATTAGCTCTAGAATCATGGAAAGCTCTAGAATTATTAGTGGCTTTTTCGCGTGTAATGTATGAACGGAAAGAGTGCATAAGTGAAATAACCGTATCTTACAATTGAAATTATTCTAATATAATCATATCTAAACGTGATGTATGTGAACGATCGTAGTGACATAACAATATGCAAAAGTTAATTAATTATGCAATAAATATCTAAGAAGTCTGATATATCTGAAATATAACGCTGGTTATCAAGATGCTGTACAGCAAGATCAGTTGCACACGAACAAATTTTGATTGCTGATAGGGCCACAAACCGACCGCCAGCAAAAGAACCCGATTGAATTCGAGTTGCAACGATTTTACGCAGATCTTTGCGAGAATCAAGATGCGTCTGCTCGCAAGGTAGTCGCCGCGGCTCCGTTCATCCCCTCCTCTTCGCCGGTCAATATAACATCCCACTTTTCGATACAAATTTTATTATAGAAATACGTGCGATGCGAAGAGAAAGTACCATATGACATTCTGAAACCCCGTAATTTGGATATTCGGATCTGAATATTCGCAATTTTCTTTTCCGAAAGAGCTCTACGTCCGATGGAGTCGATTGTGCGGTATCACCTCAAAAGAAATACCACCGGTGTTTGTTTCCCACTTAAATAATAACCAGAGTTATAATATTTAGTAGAAATGCCGAATAGAGGTATATGTCGTTTCTTGGAGCTGCGACTACTTTAACACATGCAGTCAAATGTCATACGATTCCTGAGATGAAACGTCTCTCACTCGGCGGATGTGTAACTACTTTAGTATGTACAAATATACAGAATGTGTATGTGCGTTTATGTGTGTGTGTATGTATGTGTAAATGTACTGCCTGAGAAATATACTTTCTAAAATTACTGAAAAATAAATTTTTCTATTGGGCACAGGAAGTATTTCGAAATTTACAAAAAAATGTTGCAATTTTTTTGTAACTAGTCATAAACCAAGCAGTAATTGAAGTAATGGATTATGAGAGAAAGAAAGCAAGAAAGTGAAAATGAAAAAAGCACGAAAATGAAAATAATGGATTATCTCACCCGTAAATATAATAATATTATATTACCCGGTAGCTCCATATTCTCCCATGATATCTATTTCACACTCGTCTTTCAGCTAAACAAGTGTGTACTGAAATAGTTTCAACAAATGCTGTATCTACCGTTCGTTTTTAAGAGAAATTTAACAAAGAATGTACTGTGGGGAGAATTATTAAGCGTAAAATATTTACACAAATAATTGAATGTTAGTTTTATTCGATGACTTACGGTATTCATATTAAAACAGTAAGAGTTATATTTTATAATGTAAGTAGCAAAAAAGATTACGGAAGAGAGAACTTCCATAATAAATTGCGGGGTACATTCTGAAGTCAGAAATGTTGCAAGCTGCGGAAAATGAAACATTCGTTGAAGTATCGCATTTTCAAAAATATCTTTTCAACAAATATAAAATCATCTCAAATCATTTATCACATTTCTACATAGAATATCTTGTCAAAATATTCAATGATGCATGTTTACTTATAATAATTATAGCATGATAAAAATATGTGATCTTAATTTCAAATAATTTTATCTATATTGATAGATATAGATAGATAGATAGATGTGTGTATAGCAGTGGTAGTAATAATGAAAACTATATATTGTGATTCATTAATCGCACAACTGACAAATATTCTATTATAAAAAAATCTGGAATACATATGTACTGTCATACTTGAAATATAATAGTGCTGATTAAAACACCATTGAGCACATCAATGGGAGGCGAGAAATTTTTGATTGGTCGTAAGGCCATAAGCCGACCGTAAGCAAGAGATGCCGATTAATGTTGAAATATCCAGTGTTCGCACTGATCATTCCTCTACGATTGTCGAGCGTCGTTTGACCGCGAAGGAATGGGCGAAATTTCGCCGAACCACTTTTTCGGTCGATCGATCATTCTACGATTCCTCTCTTATAATATATATTTTAGAGTAAATTCTTTAATTTATTTTTTTATGTAACGCGAAATAACGAAAAATACCACCGCGAGATCGGACAGACACAATTAAAAAATCTTTCGCAAGAACGAGTGTAAGATTAAGCAATTGTCTTTGCGTCAATAGCAATTTGACAGATACGTTTTTTCTACAGAGAAATATTCCTGAGAGACTTCTTTTGAAGAATAATTGCGCAGTCGTAATCACCATTTTATAGCATTACAATTCTTCACTCCGACGTTTCTTTTCTAGGTTACGATGGCGTAAGCAATTTTGAATGGCCCTTATTCGGATCATGATCGGTGATATATGCAGTATTATTTTTCGCTAAAAATAATTTTAACTAAATATTTTTTTTTTATTAGTCAAACTAGTGTCTTTTAGACATTCATATGATACATAGTTTTGATATCCATGATTGATTACAACAGTACATACTTTTAATTCACACATTATTAAATCTCTCTATTAAAAGATATTAAATTAAAAAAAAATTGTATGGAGTTAGAAGTATAATAATGAACTAATCCATTCAGGAATAGTCTTATATGTTCCGTGATACGTACCTTCCATTAGGAAAAACCTAAAAGCAATAAAAAATCAACATTCCGGATTATTGTGGCGTTTATTGTCATTTAATTATGCTCTAGTTGCATCCGAATCACAATTCCATTTTATTACATATTTAGTTATAATATTACTACGTATAGTGTACAGCATCAATGATCGTACATCATGGTCCCATGGAAAAAATAACGGTAAAGAAAGATATCGATGTGCTCGTCAACTACATAGTGAAAAGTGTAAAGCTTTTTTAATACATAAAATATACAAAGTGACTAAATATTATACGCTAGATTCATACCCTTGAGAAACCCTCCAGAGATCCCATGACTAATCCAAACAAATTTATACTGAAAGGATTAGTGCCTTTTTGGAGTATGAATAATATAGTCCTCTGCACATGTAAGGGAGTAATATACCAAGGGAAGTTGTACCTATACAAGAATAAATGCGTCCGATAGACAATTTTGAGAAAATAAAAGCATAATTTTCAACATATCGATACACACGCCAACACATATATACATACACAAACGTTAAAATGTTTCTTACGCAGTAATATATATGAGATTACTATGATCTTTAACTTGTTGCGCAATATAGGTGGCAAGAAACATTAGTACGTAGTTGGCAATCAGAAACAATAAAGGTGATATACATTTTTCCAAATTCACACCTGTTAATAGTTCTTCAGTAATCTGAAATATACGTATATGACGGCACGATTAATTTTTATACAATGTAATCAAGATCTGATGCGCCTATGAATGTAGACATATAAATTGTTTCGTGTCTTGCAAAATCCGTATTCTTTCATATATTCTGCATCGAACATAGCATTAAATCTCAAATTAATGTCCCTAATAAATCCAGTCTACGTAGCAGACTCATAGAAGTATTTTAGATATTATTCGTACTCCATTGAACAAGATCGTCACCTTATAGAAATACCATAAAATTCAACGTGCTTTAACAGTGAAACGCAATATGTACCCGATAAAGGTTAAGGCTCATGGTAATTACTATGCCTGTCATTAGGATGAAATACGATACCTCGATTGTGGATGAGAAGCACTTTATAAACCTTCAAAAATGACAAAGTATTATTAGTATATTACGGATTATATCCACACGTGGAATTCATTTCGATCATGAATACCAACGTCGAAGCTTTGCGATGCATATCTATAGCGCAAATAATCCTTCTATATACCAAATTATCATTGCTTATATTCAGTATTTTTAGAGAGTTGATTGTCGTAGCTTGCTTCACACGATAACTGCAAACAACTAGCATTGCTATAATTATTCGACAATTTAACTTTGTTGTGAGGAACGTTAACACTTAAAGAAATCCTGAATTAGAAATCGCACTGCATCGTTATGTTCGAGACAAGAGTTCGAGACTGCCCAATACTGATTTTTCTCACGATCCCAATTTCGACTAATAATATCCCCACCTGGCAATTTGAAACATCCCGCAGGCATATAGCCAATATGTGATAGTCATCGTTCCTACCGCCAGCAACGCGACCCAGCCGATGCAAAATGCCGTGTTTATATGTAGTAGAATTAAGTAGAAATATTCCTCTCGATTTACAAAGTACTCCGTAATGATCTGTAGCGAGGCACGCGGTCGAGATTCATTCATGGACAACGTGATATTGAAAATATGCGGCAAAAATGGGAGGAACACAAAGAGACATAATCCAATCATAGCGAGTACTAAAGGATAGTTTAAGAAAATTATTATAAGCCTTTTAGATACACTGATACTCTCGATATGCAAATGAAGAGTGATTATCTTACACGTGAGTATGTAAGTATAACGTTTCGCGATAGTTCCGTATTTTTTGATGATCATAACTTCACTGTCGTCTTTCAGTTCGTTGTACATGCTTTGGAGAACTTCCAGCAGGTATTTTATCTGTCGTTTCAATAATTTTTTATGCCGTTTGTCTTGTCAAGGTTTAACAAAATCTATCGTGTAACGAAAGGTGCTTTACACCACGAACGAGTGAAAGTCTATGCATAACTGCGTGTACTCACGTTGGCTATATTAAAACTGAATGAGTTATATTTGATCAGGAGGGTAATGAAGAAAAATGCGGCGGACAGAATTTGGATAACGAAATGTGCATTACATTTCGCAGTTATGAACGCTGTGAACTGCGAGGAAAAAAAAATTTCTGTAGATTTTTTTGCCGCGAGTGTACGTAATAAAAACAATTTATATTTGTCTTAAAAACAATCCTTGTTAACATTTTAACACACTCACGTGTTAATTTAACATGTTGTATTTATGTTATCTCAATATTCTGTGTTATATTGATATATAACATATGTAACTATTAAAATGACACATTTTATACTTCAATTAACATATTACAAGTGTTACTTTTTTATTAATTGCGAACGTTATATTTATGTTATTTTTTGATACATTATGCTAGTGTTAAATTAACACAGAAATGTGTATGGACCGTTTAGGAACATGTAAAATATGTTAAATTTAACAGAAAATTATGTACTAATGTAACATTTTTGACAAATGGAAAGTGGCAAATGGAAAGTTCCAGAATCATTAGTGGCTTTTCCGCGTGTAATGTATGAACGGAAAGAGTGCGCAAGTCATGTAACCATATATTACAATTGAAATTATTCTAATATTTTCATATCTAATCGTGATGTATGTGAACGATCGTTGTGACATAATAATATGCAAGAATTAATTAATTATTCAATAAATATGTAAGAAGTTTGATATACCTGAAATATAACGCTGGTTATCAAGATGCTGTACAGCAAGATCAGTTGCACACGAACGAATTTGGATTGCTCATAGGGCCACAAACCGACTGCCAGCAAAAGAACCCTATTGAATTCGAGTTGCAACGACTTCACGCAGATCATGTCTTTGCGAGCACCAAGATGTGTCTGATCGCAAGGTAGTCGCCGCGGCTCCACTTATCCCCTCCCCTTCGCCGATCGATATAACACCTCACCTTTTCGGTGCAAATTTTATCATAGAAATACTCGTAATACGATGAGAACGTACCATGTGGCATTCTGAAACCCCGTAATTTGGATATTCGCATATGAATATTCGCAATTTTCTTTCCCGAAAGAGCTGTACGACCGATGGAGTTGATTGTGCGGTATTACCTCGATAAAAATATGACCTGTGTTTGTTTCCTACTTAAATAATAAACATAGTTATAATATTTAGTAGAAATGCCAAATAGAGGCATATGTCGTTTCTTGGAGCCGCGACTATTTTAGCCCATGTAGTCAAACGTCACATACGATTCTTGAGAGGAAGTGTCTCTCGCACGGCGGATGTGTAGCTACTTTAGTATGTACAAATGTACAGAATGTGTATGTGCGTTTATGTGTGTGTATGTATGTGTAAATGTACTGCCTGAGAAATGTACTTTCTGAGATTACTGAAAAATAAATTTTTCTACTGGACACAGGAAATACTTCGAAACTTATAAATGTTGCAATCTTTTTGTGACTGGACATAAACCAAGCAGTAATGAAGATAATGGATTATGAGAGAAAGAAAGCATGAAAACGAAAACGAAAGAAGCAAGGAAATGAAAATAATTATTACCTCACCAGTAAATATATAATATTACGTTTCCCGGTAGCCCCATATTCTGCCGTTATAGCTATTTCAACCTCGTCTTTTAGCTCATCAACTATGTACTGAAGTAGTTACAACAAGTGTTGTATCTACCATTCGTTTTTAAGAGAAATTTAACAAAGAATGTTCTGTGGGGAGAATTATTAGGCGTAAAATATTTACGACAAATAATTGAACCTTAGTTTTATTCAATCACTTACAGTATCCATATTAAGACTGTAGCAGATATATTTTATAATGCAAGTAGCAAAAAAGTTTACGGAAGACAGAACTTCCATAATAAACTGCGGGATACATTCTAAAGTCAATAATGTTGTAAACTGCGAAAATTGAAACATTCGTTGAAGTATTAGAGTTTCAAAAATATTTTTCCAGTTAATATAAAAACATCTCAAATCATTTATCACATTTCTACATAGAATATCTTGTCAAAAAATCCAATGATGCATATTTACTTATAATAGTTATAGCATGATAAAAATATGTGATCTTAATTTCAAATAATTTTATCTATATTGATGGATATAGATAGATAATAATTTTATCTATATTGATGGATATAGATAGATAGATATGTGTATAGTAGTGGTAGTAATAATGGAAACTATATATTGTGGTTCATAAATCTTGTAACTGACAAGTATTCTAGAAAAAAAATCAGGTGTACATAAATATTGACTTACCTGAAATATAATAGAACTGATTAAGACATCATAGAGCATATCAATTGCAGGCGAGTAATTTTGGATGTTTCGTAAGGCCATAAGCCGACCGTAAGCAAAAGAAGCTTACGGTCCGATTAATGTTGAAATCTCGAATGTCCACACAGATCATTTCTCTACGAATGTCGAGCGTCGTTTGACCGCGAACAAATGGGCGAAAATTCGCTGAACCCTTCTTTTCGCTCGATTGATTATTCTACGAAACCTCTGTTCTAATATATATTTTAGTGTAAATTCTTTAATTTAGTAAATTCTTAAGTAAATTCTTTAATTTAGTTTTCTAAGCAACGTGAAATAACGAAATATACCACCGCGATATCATACAGTCGCACTTAAAAAATTTTTCGCAAGAACGAGTGTACGATTAAGCAATTATCTTTGCGTCGAAGGCAATTTGAGAGATGCGTTTTTCCGACAGAGTATATTCTTGAGAGGCTTCTTTTAAAGAAAAATCGCGCAATTGTAATCACCATTTTTTACATTACAATTCTTTAGTCCGTCGTGTGCGTTTCGAGGTTACGAATGCGTAAGCAATTTTGAATGTCTGATATTCGGATCATGATCGGTGATATATGTAATATCATTTTTCGCTAAAAATAATTTTAACTAAATATTTTCTTTTGAGTAACCGAACTACAGTGACTTTTAAACATTCATATGTTTTGATATCCATGATTGATTACAATAGTCCATACTTTCAATTCAGGCATTATTTAAATCCCTCTATTAAAAGATATTAAATAAAAAAAAAATTGTGGGCCTAAGAAAAGTAATAATGAACTATTCCACTTAGAAATAGTCTTATATGTTTCATGATACGTATCTCCCACTAGGAAAAACATATAAGCAATAAAAAATTAACATTCTGGATTATTGCGGCGTTGATTGTCATTTAATTATGCGCTAATTGCATTCGAATCACAATTTCATCTTATTATATATTTGGTTCTAAATTACTACATATAGTGTACAGCATCAATGGTCCCATGGAAATGATCGCATATCATGGTCCCATGGAAAAAATAACGGTAAAATACGATATCGATGTGCTTGTCAACTATATAATGTAAAGTGAAAAGTTTTTTTTAATATATAAAATATACAAGGTGACTAAATGCTACATGCTAGATTTTTACCCTCATAAAACCCTCCAGCGATGCCACCACTAATCCAAACAAATTCACACTGAAAGGATAAGTGCCCTTTAGAAGTAGGAACAATATAGTCCTCTGCACATGCAAAGGAGTAATATACCATGGGAAGTTATACCTACAAAAGAATAAGTGTGGCCTATCGACGATTTTGAGAAACTAAAGACTTAATTTTC